TTTTTTTTTCTTTTTTTCTTTAAAAAATCTTACAAATCTTTTACATATTTTACATATTTTTGCATATTTTTTTTTTTCCTTATTTTAATAATATTTGTAGAATATAAAACCTTTGAAAATATGAAACGTGAAAAGGAGTTTCACTTAGTTTCATTATTTACAAAAAGAAAGGATTTTCATTTAATCACGCACGTTATACAAATCCGCTGCGGTTATACAATTAGGAAAACGTGTACAGAATGGGTCATTACCCCGATAAAACAGATTAAAAAAAGATACAGGGGATGGACAAATTAATTTTTACCCGAAATCTAAAAATAATCTTATCAAAATTGATATGATCACCTTGTGACTTACACAACCCATATCTTTCTTTCATGGTTCTTTGCATCGTGGGATTCGGGACCCTGGTTCTAAGAACTTAATTTACTTGTTTTGGTTTTTTAGTTTTTCTTTCTCGGAATTAATACTCCTTCATCTTTTTACATAAATTCAATATTAAAAAATATTTTTTATGACGAACTTTGTACCTACAAAGTACATTAACTTACATATAAACTGCGGATAACATGTTTCTAAATGATTGGTATTTTCATGTGTTAAATAAATAATGTATAGTTCACATGACAAATTTTTAAGTATTACAGATTAATAATTTCAATTAAGATTTTCTATACTAAATTTAACCATCAAAATGATCATTTACATTACCAATTATTTATTATTTATTAACCGGATATAAACAAATATAAACGTCTTTTTTTTTTATATGTATATTACCGTTTATTTTTTTAGTGGATTTTCAATAGTTGTGTTTCAAAAAAGGAAAAAAAATAATCAACCACTTGATGGATTTCTTTTTAATGATGATCCCTTTCAATAATTAATATATTTGGAAATTTATAGAAAATGGTAAACATTTAAAATTACTATAATTAATATATAAAAATTCAGCTGACATTTAATTATTAATAATGATTGCATTTTCATTCCTCGCGTTCCTTAAATATTTTGATCAGGTGAACGTTTTTATGATATATTATGAAGTCACGTTCAGAGTTTAAAATTTAAAAAGAAATTTTTTATTAAATTTACATAGTTTATAATATGGTACAAAGAAGTACAAGATGATCATTTTAAATAATCATTTTTTTTTTTTTTAATCTTAACGAAATATGTTCATATGATAATCTTAAGTGCTTATAGATTTATGATAAATGGTATCCTCATTTTTTCATTTTCTATAGGTATAGGGGTTTGCTGATTATTATAATTATTATTCTTAGGATTTTCTAATATTTTTTCAACTTGAGAGGTAATATTATTATTATTATTAAATTCGGAATTTGAATCTATTTTCATTTCAACTTGAGAGGTAATAATATTATTATTATTAAATTCGGAATTTGAATCTAATATTTTCATTTCAACTTGAGGGGTAATATTATTATTATTATTAAATTCGGAATTTGGAAGTTTGCCAATTTTGTAAAGTACGTCGTATTCGAATGTTTTAAGTTGTTTCTCGGAACATTTAAAATCGTGCGGTTTATCTTGTTCATCGGAACATTTGGTAAATTCGAATTTTTCAGATGGTCGCTCGATACCATTGAAAAATTCGTGTGTTTTAAATGGTGATTTCTCATTCTCTAATTTACTCAAACGTTGATTATAGTTGTTTTTTATTTGATTTGCCGTCCTTTTGAGATTAAAAGTCTCATTAATCCTGAGAGCAATTGCAGCCCATCCAGCTGGGTTTTCACCTTTTTTACATTTTCGCATATCTAAGATTAGAGCATCTTCTTCGATTGACAATGGATGCTTATCAACTAATTAATAATTTATAAATATAAATAAGGGTCATTTGTATAACAAACACATCTCTAGTAAATAATTTACTTACTTCCTTCCTCAAGATGTCCAAAGTATCTCTCCCGACATTGCTTCGCGTCACGAGTTCCCATTTCCGCTGCAACCAATTTCCACTTTCTTTTATTGTATTTTATTGCCAAAATCATTAATTGTTCATCTTCCTATTATAAATTAAAGTATATGTAAATGTACATTCATGTATTTGAGATAATGATGTAACGTGAATCATAAAACAATTTTGATTTGTACCTCAATTTTCCAATGTTTATGTTGTCTATGTCTTTTAGTGAGTTTATTGGGCGCTTTTGGCATTTTGTGTATAATATATATTTATATATATGTATATATTTATTTATGTACAATATGTAATTTAATCGAAAAAAAAAATTTATATAACGAAAAATATTCTATCTTAAGAGGAAAAAAATTATGAAATACGTTAAAAAAGCGATAAAAGAAAACGAACGATCGATCGATTTTTATTAATTGACTTTATTGATCTGGTCGGAGCACCTTTGAACCTTTTTTTTTTTTTTTTTTTTTTTTTGTTCGTTATCTTTCATTCTCTGGTATCAAGAGACATGTATATTTATAACAAATAACGAAAAGAACACGGGACTCATGTGAGCAATTTAATGAGGTCATGGGTCTTCTCTTGAGTGCTTCAAAACTGAAAAGATCACTTTGATTTGTTTACCGAATAGTTGTGATCATCATGCATAATCTATAATTAAATATGTTATTATCAATGCTATATTATTTGTACTCTATTCGGAGCAAAAATCAATTTCGGAAGTTAAAGACCGGGTCATAAGACTATTGACTAATCCCGTGAAAGAAATCAAAATGCAGGACAATGAGAAACATTAGAAAAATTTCACATTTGAAATAAAATCACGCGACTTATTTATTAAGGAAAGTTTATTTTTTAAAATTGGAAAAGATCTTTTCGTCATATTTTTTTCTAGTTCCCAAGTTTTACTAACGTTAATAAAAATTTTGAATGGCTTTTCATGGGAATGTTTTGTACGATTATTTACGAGAATTTCCCATTTGTATAACCTTTTTTAATAATTATTTTTTTAAAAAATCCAAATAGAAAGGTCATGAGTGAAAAAAATTTGCATAAATGATATATATTTTTTTTATTAAAAAAAGTATGGTATGAAAATTTTATCTTACACAAAATTTCAATTTTTGGTCGTTTTTCGAAATTTCGATATTTTTTTAATGATTTTTGATCATGAGAAAAAGTCATCAGACTTTTGTACTTCAATAAAAATTTCTGATAAGATTTCCTACTTCTCACATCTTTCTTTGTTAAATTTCTAAAAATTTATAAAAAACGAATTCCAATTATGTCTTCTATCAAAAGATTAAGCATTTAAAAAAGGAAATTGAGAACCAAAAATTGGCACGGGATCATATGAAAAAATCAAACCGCAGGAATTTTCCTTTGCATTGTTTTTTATTTAGTCATTCATTTAATTGGTGAATATCATCATAACATCAAAAACATATCTCTAATTAAAGTAATCTAAAGGTTTATCAAAATATAACGGAGAAATATATACATATTATATATTATTTTTTATTTTCAATTATTTATATTTTGTGTTTGGCCTCGTGGTCATTATGAAATTTTTGTTTTAACTAATCCGCAAAATTCCGTGTAATTTTTGTGTGAAGAATCTTATCTTAAATTATATAAAACCTACTTTTATATTTTTTTCCTTCTTTTTCTTTATGGGTGGGTCATGTGTATGATCCCTTGGCATGAAATTTTTATTGTATCTTTTTAATTTTTAGGAAATTTCTATGCATTTAAGACATAAAAATTTTAATATATTTAGTAGTAGGCTGTGCTAAATAAATAATAATTTTTATGATCACGTAAAAAAATACGTTATCAATTTTTTTTTTTTCTCGTAAAACGTGCATAACTTGCATTTTATGAGAAAACTTTTTATTTCTTTGTTAATTTTTTTTTTTATTTTATTTTATTTATTTTTTTTTATTTTTTTTATTTTTTTATTTTTTTTTTTTTTTAACCGAATTATAAATGTTTCATAAATATTTTACGTAATTAAAAAATTGAATGAAATAAAGAAAAAAAAATAAATAAACAAATAATATTAATAATAATTAATTTTATTATTTAATATTATTCTTTGTAAAATAAATATTTCTTATTACTGAAACGAAATACCTCCTTAAAAAAAAAAAAATTCAATTTCTGAAACAAATTACTAATATTACTCTCCGATCCTAATCGGAAATCGAATTAATCACGTGATACATTATCAAACATCTTTTTTGATGAGTCACACATGGCAATGCTGTTTGGTTACCACCTTCAACCACATGGTGATTCAAATTACTTTTGTGTAAAAATAATATGAATTTTTAATGTTTTATATCGACATTAATAATCTTATCTTATAAAATACATAAAATTAAATTTAATTTTTTAGCTTATTAATTGTAATTCTTTTCCGTCAAAAAATGATTGTAATAATGATGATGATAATGACGATGATGATGTCGATAATGGATGACGATGATGACGACAATAATGATGACAATAATGATGACGAAATTAAAAAACTATTACCACTAAATTAGTTAATCAATAAGTTATATCGCTAGTTATTTCTAGGTTAATTACGCAATATGGTAGTTTTGTAGGAAAATTTGCCTGCGATTTTACTTATTGATAAATTTTATAGAAAAATTCTTTCTTATTAATAAATATTATATGAAAAATTTATTATATGAAAAATTCTTTCTTATTATAGAAAAAACTCTTTCTTATTGATAAATTTTTATAAAAAAATTTATTAATAAATATTATATGAAATAACTCCCCTTATTAATAAATTTTATATGAAAAAATTCCTCTCATTAATAAATTTTATAGAAAGAAAACAATAAATTATTATAAATAAATAATAAATTCTTAAAATTAATATATTTTACTATTTATTAATATTAAAATTTATATTATTATTTGATAGATTTTAATAAATCTTTTTATAATTATTAAATAAAAAGATTATATAATTTTACTAAAATCCATTTATTTTTAATAGAAGTTATTGTAAAATTTTTAATATTTATATTATTTATTTATAAATCTATTTAAAAACTTTTTTTATTAACAGTAATATTTAGCTAAAATAATTTTTTACTGCCAATTATTAATTAAAAAATTATGTATAATATAAAATAATTATATTTAAGTTTTTTAAATATTTAATTTTAATTTTTGAATATTTTAAAATCCTTTACATATAAGTTACTATAGTATTACTACTTATATTTTATATATAAAATAAAGATTTTTCTTTTATATAAAATATTAATAAGCTTTTAAGGTTATTAATAGTAAAAATTTGTTATTTTTAAATTACATTTTTAAAAATATTTCAAAAGCAAAAAAAATTAAAAAAATTGTTACAAAAAAATTTTTATAGTAATTATACATATCATATTATAATAATTGTATATATTAATGAAAGAATATTATTGATTCAACTCTTTAATAAAAAAAAAAAAATTAGAGAATATTATATATATTATATTACAGCTTAATCAAAGAATACTTTAATTAACTATTAAGTAATTTTACTAATCTTTTAATTATTTTTTATTTTTTTATAAATTTAAAAAATATTTTTAATTATAATGATTATTTGATTTTCTATATATAATTAATAAAAAGATATTAATATATTAATATTTTACATTTTTATTTACTAAAGTTTTATCATTTAAACCCAAATTTTTATTATTAGTTAAAACTAATTATTAAATTTAGACTTTTTATATAATTTACTTTAAACTTATAGATAACTTCTATTAAAATTAATTTTACTACTATTAATAAATAAATAAAATATTTTTTAAATTAAAAATTAATTAATTAAAATTAATTATTATAAATTATATTATAAATTAAGGATGCTTACTAAAACTTTTTTTTCAAAATTTTAGTTTAGTCAAAATTCAATCTAAAACTATTTTTTATAATAAACTTAATTACCTAAACTGTTTTTATGCTTTTCTGAAACTAATTATAATTTAGAAAAGTTTTAGATTTACCAATTTCTTCATTAAAAATAAAGTTTTTGAATTTCAGATTATTGAATTTTATCATTAAGTGAGTTTCAGGTAGCAACACTATTATAAATATTAATTTTAATAAATTATTTATAGATAAAATTGTTTAAATAATTTTACTTAAAGTAAATTAATTTATATTTATTATAAATTTTAATAGGCAATTTCTATTTGTACATGAAGTATTTAAATCCAAGTTATGTGATTATTACCATTTTGACTAATATTATAAACTTCAAAATTAGTAAATAAATGGATTTTTGCTTGTTCTATAAGTTTGCCTAAGGCATCAAAGATGCTTTTGAATGTCAGTTTTAACTTTATCTATGAATAATTGATTTTGCCAATCATTCTTAAAAAAATTTAGAAAATAATCAGCAAAAACAGTTTTTCATATATAAGTCAAAAACGGCATTCAAAACCTTTATTGATGCCTTAAGTAAACTTGCAGAACAGTCAAAAATACATATATTATATAAAAAAGGTAAAAGGTATTATTATATTTCACATGACCCATATTCAAACACCCTGTGTAAATTTTAAAATTTTTATTTTAATATTATAGTTGTAATTAACTTCTTTTATGAGTCTTGTAATTTACTAAATGAGTAGTTAAATTAATCATATTAAAATGGTTTTTAGCATAGTATTTTTATATATATTTCACTTTTAATATTCCTAATAAATTTATAAATACATTACAGTTAAAAAAAAATTAACTTTTTTTATGCAATTTTATTTTTTATTATATTAATTTAATAATATATTTTAAAAATATAATTTTATATAATTAATTGTAAAATTTTATATAAATTTAATATATTTATTGTAATTATTCAGAATTCTATTGGTATAGAAATTTGAAATATTAGATTTTTATTTGTAAAGAAAAATGCATTTTTTTTTTATTAGGCCGTTCCAATTTAATCTTTAGTTTAACGTCCTCCCCCCCCTCTATTTTTGAAAAATTCAAGGGTGATTTAAACATATATGTTTGATATGTTTAAATATGCTTAAACCACCCCCTCCTTTACTAAAATTTAATGGTACCGAGAATTCCCAATTTTACCAAAAATTTCCGAAATTTTTATTATGTTTAATTTTCATGTTTGTTTAAATTATCCCTCCCCCCCCTCAAAATTTTTGGCCAGAAAGGACGTTAAACTAATTATTAATTTGGAACGGCCTTATTTTAAATCTAATAAATTTTCATATATTCTTTTGCAATATAAAAAATCTTATTTATTACATATTATTCTTTTAACAAAAAAAAAAAACTTTAACAATTTCCTTTACTAAGTAATCATGATTGGCTGACCAACACAAATCGTGATTGGCTAAAAATTACACGTGCCTACTTTAAACTTCACACGATAAAAAAAACTATTCTTCTGTCTTATCAGTTGTCTTGTCAAAGGAAGTTCACTCTCAAACGCTTTCGAAGTTGACATTGAGAAAATAAGTCCATTAGCGACTTTGTATGTGTAGACGCAGACAAGCTCAAACTTTGTGAATTAGTTACAACAGCGTCTTTGAATCACAAGAGTCAAGAAAGCATAGCATCAAAGCGGTTTGTCTTTTCATGGTTATGAGAAGGAAAGAATGGCTTGAATGCAAGAAACGATAACTCCAAATTCCAATCGCTACTTCGACCATAAGGACGAAATCTGTTAAATTATGAGTCGCATTCTTTTCCGGAAAGACTTGTTTGAAAATAATTATGATAATTAAATCATACTGTCAGTAGCCAACTTGTCATAGTAGTAGAGAATTTATGCTGATGGTAAGGAAATTGCAAACCAGTTGAATGAAAATTAGATGTAGTTAAAAAAAAATTATCATACATTTGTTTATGATTATTGTTATATTATTTTGTAGTATTCGGTTGGACTGGTCAACTCAAATCACAGGCTATGATACAACGAGACGAGTTACAAGATTTATGACGCATTTAACAATATATAACTGTATAAGTATACACTTTTTACGTTCTACATTTGATCGAGCCACGCGCCAAAGAAGTACTTTTTTTTTAAACCGGAAAAGTGGCAACCCATAAGAACAATTCTTCTCACGAAAGATTTAGAAATGGATTGATCCAGTATTTGTTCGTTTTGGTAGTGGGCCAGTACCTTTATTCTATCTGTTAAATTCCATATCTCAAATTTTTCCACAAACTATGTTATGTAATTCATTTATGTAATACAGTTAATCCACATTTTTATCGTTGGGACAAACGAAATTTGCCGTTGGAATTATATCAATATAGTTTGCGTTACGTTATGATGGTAGTATCTTTAGAGATTGTGGAGTTGAGAATAAGCAAGCAGCTAATATAATGACTCCATTAAATTGATGAATTTTAACAACTATCGCAGTTATTATCATAGTTGTTATTACAATTATAGTTTTAGATATAAAAGACGAAGAAGGATATTCAAAAATCAAATGCATTTGGCTTGAAAGCAATTTTGCAAATATATTCGATGTCCAATATTAGTTGTTATATAGCAAACATTTTTTTTTTACAAGAACGCATATTTGATTTTTTTTCCGAGTACAATACAACTAATTCTAGAGCAAATAATTAGTAATTAATTATATTTAGCTAATTGTAATTAATAAAAATAGCAATCAATCTTTAATAGCAACCAAATTTAAATCAAAAGTACAATCAGGAATCCAAATCAGTGTTGACGGTTCTTTCTTTTTCGGCTTTTTTTTTAACAGGAAAGTTAAAGTGATTATATGACGTATCTGGAAAAATTTGATATAAAAAAAATATGAGTAAAATTCGCACATATCACTCTTAGTTTCGACAACAAATTCCGATACTTGTCGAGTAGAAGGTGAATGGCGTTTTTGGGTTCTTCTTTGTCCATGTAGAGCCTTCGCGGTGGCCCCAAAATTAGGTTTTCTTGAATTTTTTCTGAACATTCAAATTGCACCATTTGCGTTTCCACTCTCGATATTGTTATTAACTTGTTGATTACTTTCGTTTGTGTATTTATGCGTCGATGCTCCGAACATGAAAAGTGCAATCTTCCTTTTTTTTCACCAAAATTGCTGATGGGCGGCTTAATCAGTTCTGTTCCATCAACATGATTTTTAGGCCAGAATAATCAAGGTATCTCCCCTCGAAGAGACCATCTTTATGGTACAATGCGTCCATAATAGGCACAGTTTGTCCCACACTGTTACTATTAAATTGGGCGATGATAATTGCATTTCCTTTTTATTTGTGTAAGTAACGATTTATTTGTGTAAGCCACCCTTGACAAAAGTTGATATTTGGGCATTATGATGTATGATGTTTGGACATCATATCAGATATATGTCTAGACATTATTCAGACATGATTATGTACGTACAGATATCATATTATATGTAGAATTATATCATTCAACATCAATTGGCATGATGTACTGATTATAATTCTCAAATATAAAAAATTTTTATTTAGTAACAAATATCATATGATTATTAAAAGATAAAATAAAATTGATTCAAAAAATTATTAAATTACTAGAAATGGTTATAAAAAATGAATAGCACATCAACTATGATATTCAACTATTATATTTAGATATCAACTTTTTGTTAATAATAGCTTGAGTAATGATTTAAATTAGTATTACAATCTGTAGATATTTTCCATCTATTAACTCATATCTATAAATGGTAAATATCAAATATTTAAAGGATAATCTATAGAAATCTAAAGATATATTTAAAAATTTTATTCTTAAACTATATTAATTTTTTTTTTTTTTTTGCTACAGCACATTCAATATTTATTAAAATAAAACAAACACACATATATGATACATTTTAAGAACTATTTTAACTAATTAAATATTGAACCACTTGTCATTCTATAAAAGTACTCCACATGTGTACTGTCAGGTAAATTTTAGACTATGAGAGTAAATTCAATGTGAAACTGCCCTTTCTTAGAGGGGATCCCTCCTCTTAATCTACATCCTAGGAAAATTCATGAGACCTACTGTAACAATAACAAGAAAAAAAAAAGAGGATTTTTAAACAAAAAAAATTCAGGGTAAAAAAAAGGGTTAATATATATGAACTAGATAGCAAGCACTCCAACATTCCATAAACTCCGATTTGGCTCAGGCATTCCATTAGTTGGCCAGTGATCTAAGTAACGCTCTAATTTCAGCTAAAATAGTAAGTTTATCATTGCCATCGAAGCAGCGTATAAAATCTATTTAAATTTTGCCAGATTTTCTGAAAGGTTTTTGAAAAATCTGGTAAAATTTTTTAAATCTTGAATGATTTTGGACATTTTACTGCAGATTTCGGTATTTTTCAGAAGATTTCTGGAATTTTTTTCTAAAAACTTTTTGTACGCTGCATCGAAGCCTTTATTTTTTGAAGTAAATTACTTTTTTTTTCCAAAAACTTCTTCATCTGTTGCTGTCTATTAGCAAAACATCCAGATTCTTGTTTTGGTTCTGTTTCTGAGTAGAATCCATATTTTTTGGTGGTTTATTTCTAGGCTGATTCAATGTAAGTGAAAAATAACAAGTCTAAACACCTTTAAATTCTTTAAAGTTAAATTCCGTATTGAGTGCTTTATTTAAGCTTGACTAAGTATCAAAATACACAATTAACTTCCTATGCCCATAGTCTTGAATAATCTTGAAAGCTAAAGTACTATCTAGTTGTGATAGCATAAATTGGGCAGGATTTTCTGCATTGTAAACAATGTTATTAATAACAGATTGGGGTATATATATCTATAATAAGTAATAACAGTCTGGAATTTCTTGTGTTCTTTACATTGCTTCAAAATCCAGAATGCAGAAAACTATTATACAGATATTCCTCCAAATAAAACAGTTTAAACTCCATTATTCCAATTAAGCAAAACCTACTCATTGAAATTTATAGATATAGTCACAATTAAATACTTCTTTTGTATCTTAATTTTGAACGCAATAACTTGACTTACTGTACCATTCCAAAATTAAACAACCATTTTTTGAACTTAATTCCGGCTAATGTAGTCATAATTCTGGTCAAAATCGCCATAATGCAGGCCAGGATTGCTTATTTTCAGGAGTTGTTTAATTTTAAAATGATACAGTATTTTTTTAAGTTTATAAGGATATTGAGTTGCTGCATAGTAGATAAATCACTATCTTTCAAACATTGGCTTTATTTTATGGCATATATTTGGTCATGATAGTTGAAATCGTTTCTCTAGTATAAGCTTAGACTTCTTAGTCTTCTGCTACAGCAGTTTGTTAAATGTTTTACATTTGGTAAAAGTATCTTAAGGTATCCATTTTTCTGGAAGGGATGGTAACGTAAGCCAAGAGTCATTAGAACTAGAACCTATTACAACTTCAGTATACATTACATATTTCTTTCTTTTTGGGTATATGGCTAAGTTTGTATATTCAATTTTATTTATATTACAGGTGGTACAGCCAGTGATTGATACTTGGGTTCTTCAAAAATTTTCATTTCAGTTAGTTGAAAATCTGGTATTTCCAGAACCTTATTGGGTGTATTTATTATTGCTTGTTGCTTATGTGATGACTTTTCTATTTTTTCCATAAAGTCTTTTATCAATTCATATAAAAGCGCTATCTATAAGTCTTTGAAGGTATAGAAAAGAAATACCAAGTTTTGAAAGTTGTCTTTGAACACACGCAATTCAGTGAGTTCATTCTTGAAATTATTTTGGAGTTGTTTCACATACTTGTATGTTGCTAATCCTAGTTCAGAGATAGTTTGAAAAATACCAGTTGTGCTAGTTGAATAGTAAGCTAGCAGTGTTTAGTTGAGCAAAGAAGAGAAACTCTCATCATCCATGAGATTGAAAAGCGCTTTTATGTTTTCTAAACTAAGTTTTGTTGCAGAAGAGGCCATTTTTTATAATACTTTTCGTCAGTATATTATTGCTGAAATTTCATAAAAAAATAGTCCATGTGATTGGTGGAAAGAGTTTTTTCCCTTAAATTATATTAATAAATATCTATAAATGATATTTGTATTATAATTTTAAATAATAAATAAATAATTGAGTAAATTTATTCATCGCACGTGCGATGCATCGCCACTTTCCTTTTTTGTAAATTATTTATGTTGATCAACCTGCTTATACATCGCCACCCCCTTAAAATGGCAATGATAAACATAAAAATTTGCATCGCACGTGCGATAAATAAATTATTTCTAAATAATTTTATCAATTATAAAAATAATAGTAAAAATGAAATTTTACTTTTAATAAAAGTTACTAAAAATCATAAGATAAAATTTATATGTAAAAATTCTACTATATATAAATAAATTACATATAAAAAAGGAAATATTATATTAAGTTATTATAAATTTTTTCTTTTTTAAATTAGTTAACTAATAGAATTATTAGTAAAATCACTAATAAATTTTAAATTTTTTATAAAAAACTTCTATTATAAATAAGTAAAATTCTGTAATTAAAATAAGTTATTAAACCAACAACTATTTGATAATTTGTCTTATATAAAAAATAGTTTTAATATATATAAAATAATTTTATTATTTTAAATTTTAATTAGTTTTTTTTTTTAAAAAGTATAGCTGGTCAGAGTTTTATTAAAATTTGAAATCGTACAAAATCACAAATGTAAGAAAGTCTTCCACTCCTGCTATGTAATGAGAATCTTAATTTTAATTAGTTTAAATTCTTTAAAAAATAGTTTTAAATAGCAATATTATAAATTGTAGCAATTAAAAAAAATTTTAAAAATTAAATTGATAAGATTTTATTTTACTAATTAAATTTAAATTTATAATTTTAATTGTTATTATGTTTTTAACTTAATTTTAAATATCAACTTTACTAAATTACATTACTGGTATTCAATACTATAGTATGTATTTTTATGAAAACTATAGTTTAAACTAAAGAAGTCATTTTAATTAAAATTGTTTAGTATCAGGAAAAGTTTACTTGCTATTTTTTTTTTTTATACCATATATATTGCAAAATAAAAACTAAAAAAATTGAAAAACTAAGAAAAATATATATGAAGTATATACTACAGCATTTAACATTATAATATAAACTGATTATAATATTTTATTAATGGAAATATTTTAATTATACTATTAATAATATAGAGCATATGGCTGATTTGTTCACTCTGCATTAAAAAGTTATTGAATTGATTTTCACAATTTTCGTTACTTAAAATTGTTTTATAATACCAAAAAATCATCTGATTGATGATCACTTGACTAAATAAGAAGTTGAACAAAAATTTACATTTGCAAAATTTAAATTATTAAATGTAAAAGAGATGTAAAAAAACCCATTTCACTAATAAAAAACCCATTTCTCATAAATATGAATTTTTAACATTTATTATTAAAAGTAAGTATATTTTAATAAAATATAAAGTAAAACGAAAATTTATATAGTCTTAGTAGCTATAAATGTTTATAAAAGTATAATAAAAACATCATATAAAAGATGGTATCATAATAGATATTTTCAAACAATAAAAATAATTATTTTATGTCAGAGTTTATATTACCATCTTTAGACGCAAATATATCAAGATTTACTGATCCGGTTTCTATAATTTTAGACTTGTTGGAAAGCCCTTGCTCTGGACTTTATAATCGAAAAAAGAGCTTGCCGATTGAATCATTAGATCTGGAGATATTTACGTTTAAAGTTAAGGTACGAACTTTTTAACATGCTTAAATGCAAATATCTTGGGATTCACTGATCCGTTTTTTATAAATTTAGGCTCTTTGGAAAGCTCTTTATCTGGACTTTATGAGCGAAAAAAGAGCTTGCCGATTGGATCATTGGATCTGGAGATATTTACGTTTAAAGTTAAGATACAAATTTTTAATATATATAGTAAGTTCTAAGAATTATATTAATTTAAAAGAAATATTTACCAAATTATAGTATAATAACATTAAATAAAATTTTTTAATATTCACCCCCAATTTACTGTATATTATATAGTATTTTGTATAATAAAAATGTAACAAAATCAATATTTTAATTAAAGGTGGACAAATCAGCCTATATGGAATAAAAAAATTATACAATAAATAAAAAAATAATTAATACATATAACTGTGGTATTAAATATTAGTAGTGTGATTTATAATTTTTATTAAATATAATATATAATTATAATTAGACTATTCCAATTTAATTATTTGTTTAACATACTTATCTTCTTTTATTTATTCATTTTATTAAATATATAGAAATAAGAGTGATCTTAATGCTCACTAGTCGTGAAATTCATCAGGAGTAAATTCATCAAGGGTAAAATTCACCCAAGGTAAAGTTCACTTATATCACGTAATTTATTAAAATTTAAATTGGTTTGTTTTGAAAAAACTAATAATTTTATTAATAAAAGTATTTATATAATGTATATAGTTTAAATATAATAATATATTATACAATAATTTATAAGTTAATATTATTATAAAAATGTGATAAATCTTACAAGTATTAAGTAGATTTTATATTGCTAAACAACTTTCAATTAATAAAGGAAGTCAATTTCATTTGACTAAAGTGGTGAAATTACGTGCTGAAGTTAATAAACAGAAAAAAAAAATTCGAAAGTTAGTACCGTTATGAAAAATGTAGATTTCTCCATATGTATTATACTTACACCCATGAAAATTAATATACAAGTAGTTTCGACCTTGCTGAACGATTTTCAATTAATTTAGAAAGTTGATTTCATTTGACTAAAATGGTGAAATTACGCGCTGAAGTTAATAAACGGAAAAGAAAAATTCAAAAGTTAGTACCGTTATGAAAAATGTTGGTTTCTCCATATGTATTATACCTACACCTATGAAAATTAATATACAAGTAGTTTCGACCTTGTCGAACAATTTTCAATTAATTTAGAAAGTCGATTTCATTTGACTAAAGTGGTGAAATTACGCTCTGAAGTTAATAAATAAAAAAGATTTTGAAAGTTAGTACTATTATGAAAAATATGAGTTTCTTTACATGTATTATACCTACACTTATAAAAATTAATATACAAGTAGTTTTGACTCTGTTGAACAACTTTCAATTAATAAAAGAAGTTGATTTAATTTGATTAAAGTGGCGAAATTACACTCTAAAGTTATTAAATAAAAAAATATAAAAACTTTAGGAGTTAGACAGTTAGTAGTGTTATAAAAACCACAAATTTCTCTATAAATTTCATTTCTAATTTATGAAATTGAGTTGTATGGGTTTAATAGTATATTTGGAAAAAAAGTTACAGTTTAAAAAATTTATAAAAAAATTTTTTTTACATGTATAAAATTGTAAAACGTAATACAACAAAACTAAAATTATATTACTGGTGAATTTCACCAGAGGTAAAATTCACCAAATTAACCACTGGTGAATATAAAATTAATCCTATAAATAAAATTAGTAAATTAAATCTAATAGTAAATATAAAATACTAATTTTGATTTACTATACATATATAAATAATATAATTTTATTATTTTATAATTATTTTATGGATTTTCTATATATATTCTATATATTTAAGTATTACCATAATAAATATTTTTTTGTTTTATTAAATTAATTTAATATTTATATATTTAACTAAATTAGATTTAACTAATTATATTTAAATAATTTTAAATATATATAAAAACTGAATAATTTAAAATAATATTTAAAATATCCAATAAATATTAAAATTTTCAAAACTAATTATTTAACAAAATAGTTATATAAACAATCAAACTAGTTTAATTGATTAGCTAAAATAATTATGGTAAAATAGAATTAATTCGGATTTTTCTCTGAAAATGAAGCTAATAAGCTAAATTGCTAAATTTCAATTTTTTTTAGATTTGTTCCACATCTTCATGATGGCACATTATATTGTCCATATTATTCATGTCATTTTCAGATCTAGTCAATGGATTTGATCGAACCAATCATGATCGTTTATTGATAAAAGATACATTCTCACAGGGATTGGACGAACACTGAATCGATACCCATTAACCTTCCCTTCCACTGCTAAAAGGTCCTTAATATTTTTCAGTACGACATCAATGTCCATGGGAATTGGATCTTCCTCATCTCGCACTTATCAATGGATTGGCCGTTAGCACATGATCGATTACCGAGCTTTTGATCGACTAAATCCCAATGCTATAGGTTACGAGCTCTTAAAAGAACTGTTGCAATATCCTCTTCTGCAAAGAAACCGTTGACATCTAATGCTTTTAGCACTACATTTAATAAATTAATTGCACTTGGGAACGACTTATTTGAACGAGCGCCATCGCTAACTTGATCACCAACTTTATATGCGAAAATTATAATATTTTCGGGTACTTATTTCTAGAGAGTATGGTAATTTAAACATGATAAATCTAGAGTTGTTAAAGTAAAACAATTTCATATAATGAAAATTGTAGTGATTTATTTAGTTATATTATTGGTTTACATAAAATACTTAAGGATCTATAATAAGCTATACATTTATTTTTTATAATCATAATTCTAAATACTTAATAAAAAAACGACATATACACGACATACATTATCATAATATTAAAAAATGTTGTTAGGGGTTTATCGATTGCTGTTGTATATATATACGGGATTCCATTTCGTCTATCTTAAAATACGTAATAAAAAATGTAAATTTCGTTAACGATGAAATTATTGAGCGTTATTTGGTTGATTATTATAATAATAAATGAATTCATTAACTTGATTTTCTATAGTTTCTTTCGTTATCATAACATTAGGGTTAATATCTAATGTATTCACGGGATAATGCGAATAGTAGGAATTACTAATATTGTCTTTAAAAATAGTAAAAATAAAGTAAAATGTTATCTATCATTGATTTTGTTAGAAAATTATGAAAATTGCGATCATATATTCCATACTTTGGTAAGCATCGGCAAAATAGGGTTGGTTATAGGTAACATTATCGAGAGATGGTTGGAGCGTTTGATTAGGAGGAGGATCTGCATTCGGTACTGGATTAAGATATATATTTTAAATATTTTAATTCATATGAATGAATTATTCTTTTTCATAAATATAAAATTTTTCTTTTTATTTTTACCTTCTACTTCGTTAGAGAGATTAATAGTCTCTACTTTATTATTATTATAGAGGTTATTAGTCGTAAATTTGGGCCTGAAATATTCGATATTTTTTGGGGGACCTCTTTTTTTTGGTTTGGGATAATCGCATTTAATTTTTTTTTCTTGACATCGTGAGCAGACCGGCTTTCCATTACATTTCTGTTTTTTTTTCCTGCATAAATTACAAGCAGTAGTAATGTTTCGTCGAATTCTATCACAGGGCATATTTATTTATTGAAAAAAGAAAACGAGTGTGATTTATTGATAACTAAAGGAAAATCTATAGAAGAATAAAAAAAATCCCGCGTTAGGATTTTTTTTTTTTTACAAAAATAAGAGATATTTATATCTTTAGAGTCGCACAATAATTAACGCGTATGTTATATTATAGGGCTATGAAAATAATTGACATTTTTTATGCATACTACACGTACTACACGTTAATTGGATTTTAAATAAAATATAACGTAAATTTTTAAAATACGCGTATTTTAACAATATAAATTCTTCTAAAAAGGGGTGCAGTAGCATTCAAAGAAATATAATCCCCCAATTTATATATATAACATTAAACTTAAAAACCAAAAATAAGGATGATTGAAAATTATGGGATATTTTAAAGACAATCAAAATATGTGGCGTTCTGTTATCGAAAAAAGAATTTTTTTTTTTTTCTGAATTTACGCATTCATTCGTAAAAAATCAATTTTATTGATTGTGATAAAAAAAAAAAATTCGAAATTTCATATTTTCCTAATTGAACGGACAAAGGCAAATGTATGCGATGTATGCGTTACCGTGATTTCAACATGTACCCGAAATGAGTAAAGCTGATTTTTTTTTCCAAATGAAAATCCTAGTTTGGATTGATAATCTTAATCATGCAATTCCGTGTGAACCAATTTTTTTTCGTTAATCTTATCTAACAATAGTTAATCGTATGAGAGGGAGCGTGAGTAAATGCAAGCATTAACTTTAAAAATATAAAAAATATAGCAGTTTTTAGTTAATTGTTTTAATGATAGTAATGATAATGCAAAGGAACAATACTATCCCGTTTCCCGACACTGAACACAACTGATAAGCTAGGGAAGTTATCCCAGAAACCCCATTTTCGGAACCCTCATTTTCGAGAAGTTAGGGCACCATGATTAATAATTCCTAATTAGGCAAGCAGGACCCCTTCCAAGGAAACATTTTAATAAGATAGAGTTTGAGTCTATTTATTTAAATTACTAAGCAATATAGTACAATAAAAATTGAATAATTTAAATAATTTAATAATTTTAATAAATTGAAACAAATTCATATTCCTAATATTCGAAAATAAAGTAAAAAAAAAATATATATATATATATATAAGTTAATTTTATTATATAAACTCATATATCAATTGAATTTTGTTTTGTTTACAAAAATCACGCGTATTGATGAATACTTTTTAGTAAATTCATTATTTTATTTTTATTACATATAATTAAATGTTACAAATAATAAAATTACGCGTTTATATTAATAAATATTTAATATCCCCAAAATTTAATCAAATAAGATCGACGATCGGACATGATAATAATAATTTTTTTTCTCATCAATAATAATAATATTAAGTAACACAAGTAAGTAATATATCTAAAAACAGGCTCAAGAAAAATTCTTGTTTCAAAGGAATTGTAAACAATTTCATTACTGAACAATGGATATCATGAAACTCTCACCAAAAAAAGGATTACCGGATAACTCCGATATATCAAAGTTTCTATATTCTGATATCTCAATTTGTAATTTATCTCAATGAGATTGTTAAAATAAAGTTCATTGATCGATGAATCGGATAAGAAACGGTGGTAAATTCAAAAATGGAAAAAATGTTAATGATATGTATCAATATAAAATGCTTCTTTGTTTATGCATTTTCTCTTTATCTCGCAATTTTTTCACGATTTTTCCCGTAAAAAAGTTCACGAATTTAAATTGTTTGTCACGAATTTTCTTACATAAGTTTAAGTAAGCAAAAAAGAAAAAAAATGAAGAAAAAAAAAAAAAAAAATTGTAAAATTTTTAAAAGCCTAATAATTTATGCTTGAAACTCTGTTTATGTCGTAATTAAAACATTCTACAATGTTTTATCCCGCGTTATTTGACCCGAATGCCCGATACCCCGAATATGCGAATATGACGGTTTTTATCCATCAGTTATCACATGCACATTACAATTACGTAAATTTATGTGTAACAAATAATTTCAAGTTCCGCAGTATATAAATCATGTAATATATACGTCAACGTGCTTTTTTATTCGGGTTTTTTATCCCAGCCATAAATAAGTTCTTATTAAATGCAGGGATGTAGCGAAAGTATATGTTTCAATAAATTATTTTTATATATATTGTATTAAATATATTATATTATATTATATTATAATTATATTATATTATATATATATTTATATATTATTAAATAATTACTGCGGAAAGTACATTTGAATAAAAAAAAAAAAAGTGTTGCTATCTTCAAACGGATATAAAATCGGGTTACCTTTTTATCTGCAAAATTCCTCGTGGTAAGATAAAAAATAATAAATAATATCATTGATAGAAACTTTAATATCATTGATACAAAAAAAAAAGTTCCTTTATTCTCTACTACTTGTCAGCTATTTTTGGTTTTGATAATTACAATGTAATATTTGAACATTGTTAAGTAAAAAGAAAAAAAAAATTGTTTCTTTTTGTTTGACATTCGAAACTTGGCAACAAATGCCTTTTATGTCGACGCCACGATTTATAAGAAGATTCTTAGACTAATGTATTTATATTTATCTACCAATTTTGGTTATTCTCCTGATCACAAACCTAAGGACAAAGATTTGCACTAGACTAAAATGAAATAACTTGCCACTTAACCGACATGGTAGAACAAACTCATTGTTCTCTATAATTATTATAAAAATTCATATATATAATTGTATCATTCCTTCATTAGTTTTTTTTTTAACGAAAAACGAAAAAAAAAGCTTTTAATAGCAATTAAATTGTCCTGGACGACAAATTATTAAAAACAATATATTAACGTAAATTTTAAATAAAAAATATATATATATATTTTTTTATATACTTCAATAATGCAAAACTCAAAACATTTCAGCTATTGCCCTGCCATTCGTTCTGAGATGACATTTAGACATAGCTATCCTGGAACCTATACCCCATCTTCTTCCGACAAAGAACGAATTCAGAAACCTCAAGTTGATGTTGAAAAAGTTCGTCGTATATCAAATACTTCTTTATCATCTAATGATTCCGGCGTAGGTTTCTCTAAAGCCGATTATGAAATTCAAAGAGCTTTAAAAGCTCAAAGAATATTACAACGTCCTCATATTATTGTACTTCATAAAGGAAGACCAATTTCTCATTCAACCGTTAAAAATTTAAATAATAATCACGATGAATTCGAAGCAAATATCGTTGTAGCTGCTGCTACTGCATCAAAGAGGAATCGTAGAGAAATTTCTGTTATGCATAAACGTCAAACAATCGTCTCTGTTGGTACTTTTTATGATAAAGCGGAAAGTTTAGGACAATTTAATCGTTTAAAAAATAATAGTGCCCCTAATTTATATCAACATACTCAAACAATTACTGAGAAAACACAAGCAATACTCCAAGAAAAACAACAAAAGGAAAATAAAGAGATTAAAGATCAATTACCAAAGAACTCTTCATTCATGCCTAAGCCAAAATTATTATTTAGATCAGTTTCTTTATCAATAAAGAAACTTATAGGAGTTGACAAAGAAAAGAAAAGACGAAGCCAATTAATTAAACAAATTCGTCATCAACCAAAATTCTTATAAGATTAGTATATTATATTATAATATTTTAATAATTGTTAATTTTATAATTTATAAATAGAAAAAAAAACAAAACTTTTTAATAATATTTTCACGTAGCAAAAATTTCATTAAAATTTCCATCATTTTCATTTCGCATTTTCTCATTTTCGCATATTTCGCATCGTTTACATATCACTCGTATAATTTGGCAAAAATCTTTTTTTTCCTTAGTCTACTTTTTTGGCTTTGTTTGGCAAACAAAAAAAAACTCATATTTTTAAGCTTTATTTTTTATAGAATGTTATTAGAAATTTTCTTTCGATCATTATTTTATGTCAAAAAACTAAGAATATATGGAAAATTAAGTATTTTGTATATATATGATCTAATAAAATTAAACATTTTCTCATAAAAATCGTACAAGTGACGCCACGTTTGCCACATCATTGATCATGTGGATGTTAAAATTTTAAACATATTAAATATGGGTTACGTTATTGTTTTTCAGTTTTAAAAAAAAAAAACTTTTACCAAGTTCAAGACATACAACTTGACAATTTGGAATCGAGCAAATATGAAATAAAGTTGTTCAGCAAATATTTATTTATTTTTTTGTTATTTACTTATGAAGTTACTTACCCAACGTTATTTGCATTTTCATAAAATAATAATTTCATTTTTTATACAGACTTTTCGACTTTTGAACTATTTTTAGTATATAAATGAGTTATTGAGTAAGTAAGGAAATATTAAAAATTTTATTTGAATTTGATCTAATATTTGGGGGCTTTTTTTTATTGAATATTATCAGTATAGATATTTTACGTTGTAACTTTACATTTTGAATGAATCAAACTTATTCCGAAATTGTTTAGCAGGTAAGCATCTTAAAATTTATCAATATTTATGGAGTTAAAAGTATTTTCTGTTTTAAAAAAGTATAATATTTAGTGTATGTGAGGAGAAAAAATACAAAATAAAAATTTCTTAGATAAAATAGTTATTTTGTTATTTAATGACAAATCAAATGGTAGTAATTTCATATTTCTATGAGTGATATTGATTTAATTAATATGTTTTAAAAATCTAGACATTTTATATTATATGTTATTACCTAATGATCCTACAAAAATAATTTATAGCTCATTAGATTTGTCTCATTAAAATGAATCAAATGGTGGTAGTTTCATATCTCTACGAGTAATATTGCTTGCTTTAAAAATTTAGACAAATTATGTTATATTTTATTATCCAATAATTTTACAGTAATGATTTATAGCTCGTTAAATTTATCAAGACAAATCAAATGGTAGTAATTTCATATTTATCTTATTAAGACGAATCAAATGGTAGTAAATTCATATTTCTATAAGCAATATTAAACAAATTATTACACTTCTAAGATTTAAGCATTTTACATATTACTTTACTCTAATCCAATAATCTTACAACAACTATTTATAGCTCATTAGATTCGTCTCATTGAGAAGAATTAAATGGTGGTAATTTCATATCTCTATGAGCAATATTGACCTAATTATTGCATTTTAAAGGTTTAGACGTTTTATACGATGCTTTATTATCCAATGATCCTACAACAATGAATTATAGCTCATTAGAATTGTCTCATTAAGATGAATTGAATGGTGGTAATTTCATGTTTCTGCAAATAATATTTTGATCTAATTATTTATTGTTTTAAAAGATTTAGACATTTTATATAATACTTTACCTTCCCGGTGATCCTACAAAAATAATTAGTCGAATGGTGATCAATGAGAGCAATCATACGATGTTGACATGTGAAAGAATTTGTAAGAATGAAGTAATCTAACGAAAAAAATAGTCGGTGGCGTCTTGTTTTACTATTTTGGACTGAAAAGAGATAAAAATTAGAAATTTAGAAAAAGTGAATGAAAATTTAAAGCAAAAAAAAAGATGGTCGTAACTCGTAAGTGAAAATTTTTTAATTTCGACCACTAACAATAAGATCTTTGCCTTTTAAAAACGCTCAACCTATCAACTGATTTGTAAGAATTTCACGTCTATAATACCAATGATCACGGTCTATACCAGTAGACAACAAAAGGTGATGTCAAAATTAAAAATGGCCATTTTTTTTAACGAAATTTTTTCGCATCATAATATAATCTATTTTTTATCTTATACCATTTAATTAAATAATATTAGTGATGAATAATTTCGTGCCGTTATGAATTTATAGTATATTATCCATTAGCCTCATCTTATTTAAACTTTTATAGTTTGTAAACTAGAGGACGATTAGGAAATTATAGTAATATGATTTTGTTTAAATGAGTAATGATGATTACAAATGGTAATCACAATCGGTCATTTCTTAAGTTTAATAAATTAATTGTAAATTTTAAAAGTTATTATTTTTTTTATTCTTTATTAAATAACTAAATCTGAATTTACTTTTCTTTTTCAAGTTCGCGAAAAAAAAAACGAAGACAAATTTTTTCACATCTATTAATTGAGTCACGTTTTGAAAATTTTAGTACAACGTCCAATTAGTTAACCCACTGTGTTTCGCAAAATAATTATACTTGAGTATATATAACATACCGTTCAAATAATGATAAATGAATTTTTATAAAATTCCCAACAATTTATATAACAGTCAATTACTGGATTTATGATAAATAAAAATCCATCGACATTTAATCGTGTATGTATTTCGTAACTATTGTTTTTGAGTATCGAATACTTATAGACAAGAAAGTGCAAGAGGTATTGATCGGATAAAATCGTTATTACGACGCGAAATTTATTTATCTGATTAATTAAAATTAAAATGTGTATACTGCAACACAATTTAAGTGAAGTAAGCATTTTTTTTTATTTGGAGTAATATCAAAGAAATAAAATATATTCGAAGTTTACCTCTAAACAAAGCAAAAAAAAGGGGCTTGAGCGAAATCCTTAAGGTATAATATAACCACTCATTATTTACCAAATCTAGCACTGTTCTCTGAAAATTTAGATATTAATGTTCGGAGGCAAGTTTCAGTGAATACTACAATTGAAAAGGTGAAATAAAAAAATAAAAAAAACCAGAAACCATTCCTAGGCGGTATCGCCAATACACGCAATTATTAAAGAACCCTGCTCTTCATTCAAGATTTCACTACGTGGAGGTTTAAGTTCCACGATTTTAATTATTATGAAGAAGATATTAAGAAGAAATTGTAGTGTTAATAGCATAATCTTTCAACCTTTAATTATCAACATGATATTATATTTGCTTTTCTTTTTTTCTTCTAATTCTTATAGATCAATTTGTTTTTTTTTTCTCATATTTTATTATTTTTTTATTGCCAGTAATTGTTTTATCGTTGGTCAAGGGGAAAATCAAGAGAATCAGAGAATCATCATCAAGGGCTAGTAACGATAGTAATAATAGCATCATTAAATACATTATACTTCATTTATATTTACCGCATGATTTTTCATATACTTGATGTTCCATTCTTATCAATATTTCCATCAGGACAACATTATTACACAAAAAACATGCTAATTTCATTATACTTATTTCATCTGACGCGTAATCATTTTGTGTTGATGTCAGTATAAAATAATGTTTGACATGATATAATATATATTATGGAAAGACACGTCAACTCATAAACTTTGGAATTAATTTTTTATTAATAATAATAATGAAAAAAAAAATGACAGACTTCTAAGAAAAATACATATATATATAATAAACTCGCATTTCGAATTCGATCATAAAAGAAAAAAATTTTACTTATTAATATTTATGGTACAAATATTTATCTAAAATAAAAATATTATTTTTTAAAAAAAATTATGGGATTAAGTCAATGGAGTTATTCTCTAGATAGTCATTATGAAAATTCTAGTACTATTAGTAATACATGTAGAAATATTTTAAAAAGTTGTGTAGAATGTATCGATAATATATATATTAACGCTCCCGAAATTCTTACTCATGAAAATTTTTATTTTATTGAAATTGAAGGTATGGTTAAATTTTAACAAAAAATTTCATTTGTTTTTTTTTTTAAAAAAAAAATGATGCTAATTTATATATAATGATTTTTTTTATAAAAAATTTAACAAATTTCATTTTAAAAAATAAAAAATAAGTTCCCGGGATGAATTCAATTATTGACGAATTTGAAATAGAATTAAAAACTTTGGAGCAACAAAATAAAAAAGCTCTTATTATAATGGAAACCTTATCAGCGTTTAATGGTGTTGATGGTATTCCCGAACAAAGTTTTAATGAAGTACGAGAAAAAACCCGTATAGAATTTGAGTGGAGTTACAGTACTTATAGACATCGTTTAGAATTGTTTATGCCAACTTTTAATCAATTAATTAAAAAAATACAACGTAAAATTAATGAAATTAATGAAAGAATTGAAAGAGATATAGTTAATAAGGTAAATATAAGTGAGGAAGAAATTTATGCTGTTGATGTTGTTGATGCTGTTGATGCTGTTGTTGATGCTGTTGGTAACGTTGATGTTGATTTTGAATTTGTCGATTATAAAGAAGAAAATCTTGACAATGGGGATATTTGGAGAATGGATTAGTATAGAAAAGAAAAATTTGGGCTTAAAAAATGTAAAATTATCATTAGTTTTTTTGTATTAACACCTGCAAGTTATTTAACGTTTATAATAAAATTTCAAAAAGCTTTCTTTATTCTCATATATTAGGTGATGTACCGTGTTTCATGAACATTTTCGTTTATTAAAAATATAAGTTGAATTTTACACGTGATATTATTTCAGACTTTGTCACATGGTGTTGTGAGTGATAAATGATTATTAACTATTAATAAGTAATACATGTATACTATACATATTTTTACATATTTTTTTAGTCTATAGTTATAATTTTTTCTTCAGGAAACATCATTTTACTAAATGCTTCATTAACTGCTGACATCATTAAAGAAGGACCGCAAACAAATACTCTAAGTGCAACTGGATCACAACTTAAAGTTTCAACATATTTTGTTGGTTCATAAATTATTTGTTGTTGTTCTTGTATGGGTAACTCTTTCTTTAATATGCTTGAACTTGATGAATAAGATGTATGTCCATGTGTAATTGAGGATGGTATTGATATAATTTCCCCATTATTATTTGGTGTGTAATTTTTTGATAACCAACTAAATATTACATCATGACTAAGATCTCCTAATTTGTCCAACTTGTTTGATAATATACGTGTTATCTTTAATTTACCATTACTTCGATTTTCTAATTCCTCTAGATCTTCTACCTTCTTTTGTTTTAAACGTTCATCCGGTTCTAATATAATGTCCAATTCCGTTTCATTTGAAAATAACAAGAATAATTGAGTATTATTTTGTTTATCATTTAGTTTTTCAAGATGATATTCAATCTAGAAAAAGCAAATAAGTGATTAAAATTAACAAAATTAATGAAGTTAATAGTTTAAAATAAATAATTTTTTTTTTTACGGGATAATTTACCAATTGTAACATGGGAGTTATACCGGTTCCTCTACATATCATGAATAAGATATCCCAACATCCATCATCTGAATTAGGGTTCAATAAAGCTTTATCAGCTATTACTGGCGTAGATAGAATTGAAGACATTGATAACGATTTTACACTTCGACTGACTCCGATTCGTTCATTAATATTGATTGGTCCACGAATTTTAACCGCAAATCCTATTAATAGGCGTTTCTATAATAATAAAAAAGAAAAATATAAATGTCGATACATAAATAAAAAAAAAATCGCGTAAAATTCATATAACTTACCAAATGTTGTGTCATAACCCCATTTTTGTAAATTTTTACGATAATCGAAAAACGATTCTCTTTCTCTTTAAGTATAGTGTAAGGTCGAACTACAGTTTGTCCTTGTGTATGACTTAAAATTTGTAAATAATCCCCTGGTAAAAAGTTTTGAAATCTTTCTTTTGGATCATTAAAAATAAATTTTAAAACAGTATCGTTTTTCGTAACGGGTATTATGTCATAAATAGTATGTCTTTTAAATTCATCTATTTTATCAATTTTGACTTGCATTTTTCCTACTACCATATTGGCTAATGTTTCTGTAGCAAACCTTGAATGATGATGTCCTGGACTACTTTTAATGCATTTTCTATTTAATCTTTCAAAAAAATTCACTATTCCGCCTTTTGATAGTGAGGGCCCTTGTGAAAACAATTCACTTTCTCCATCTTGCTTATTTCCGAAAAAATCATTTGAAATATCTGTTCCGATCACATGCTTTAATACTTTTGCTCCTCCTGGATGTACATCAATCCATCTCCTTATGTCAAATACAAGTTCTTCTGCTACTACCAATTTTGCCCCTTGTAAAACTCTCTGATATATTTCATTCCATGAGATTTCCGGCAAGCCTTCATATTTTTTATTATCGATATGTTTAATAATCCTTTTTACGTTACTTCCATCCTCAGTTGGAGCAAAACATTTCTCTTTATTTTTGTACATATACCAACATTCCAATCCAATAAACAATACACATAATATGCCTTTTTTTTTAAAAAAAAAAAATATAGTTATAAAATTAGAATTTAATTATCGATTTTAACATATGACTCATTATTTTACTTACCGACCCATCCAAGATACAAATTACTCCAAAGTTCCGATTGACCATATGCATCAATTCCAAGCCACACGTTAAAAGCTGCACCCAACATCAATGCAACTCCTATAAAAAAATGAGTAGCCTTAATCGATTTAAATATACCATGATTTGATGATACAAGAGAACTTCGTGCCCAAAGTGATAATAATCCCAATCCAAGTTGGAAAAATATTCCCGAATATAAGAGTATTCCAACGCTACATGAGAAAAAATCATATTAAAAATTTACCGCAAGCAAACGTGTTAATAAAATGGCTGATTTATAACATACAATTTATGTGGTGTTCTACTTTGCTCGTGGGAAACTGCCACAGCCGCAGTACCAAAGGTAAATACTCCAACACCTCCAATGATTTGAAGATTTTTATGTTGTTTTAAGTGAAAAACGTTATGCTTCATATAACGAACAACTATAATTGATACTAATAAAATAATGAAAAAGGTTAACACAATTGAGTTTAATGACGATATAAAATAAGGAATACTTACTTGGAAATATAACACTACATTGAAAATAAACCGCATTTAATTTAATTTAATTAGTAAAAAGAAAAAAAAATGTAAATAGGATAAACAACATATTAAAACATCACGATTTATGTACAGTACCTCCAAGTCTGTTGTCATATATTTTGGGAAAAGAAAAATTAAATTAAAAATTTATCAAAAAAACAAAAATCAATTTCTTAGTCTATTTACCGTGAACATCCATATTCCGTGCAATAACAACGCGATTCTATTACCTTCCGATGAAGTTGAAATGCCAGCTTGAAAGAAATTGATCTTTGCTTTGCCACGATTTCCTCCATGATATGATAATGCATTGGAATTTGGATTCCAAGCAAAAATAACTAAAAAGAAAAGAGTATTAACACATTTTCTTTTTACAAAGTCTTATATTACTTTACTTATTTACATACCTGATGTCGTGTCATTGGCTATAGGAAGCCTTTCTGGAGCATTTAAAGGTCTTCTCACTTGAACTTCCATAAATCCAGAGCTGACGTTTCCACTCAATTTTTCAACAAACTGTGTTTCACCAATAATAGGAGCTTCATATCCATTTGATCTATAAGCTCCAACTTGAATATTATTACCCACATTATGTACAATTAAGAAATCAGCATCTAACATTCCATCATCTCTAGGGTTAAAACCTATCCCAAACCAAGCATTATCACTCTCAATTCTCATTTTAAGGTAAAGGAAAGTATCTTGAACTTTCCATTTGATACTATATATTTTAGATATTTGAAATGAATTTTCTTTTGAATACCCATCAGCGTCTAGACCTATATCAGTATGGGAGTTTACAGAGCTAAGATCATTTCTTGGCTGAACAAACCATATATTCTCTGGAAGTTTTGTATCTGCTGGTGTATTGCGGAGAATTACATCACGCCAAGTTGTATTTCTTATCTCTTCGATTTCTTGTCTAGTAAACCCCGCGTCCGGTGATTCAAACCAAAATCTATCAGCATCGCGTAATAATGTCCATTGCTCTTGCATACTTTTTTGAAATAATTTACCGAAATTTGAATTGTTGTAATGTTCTTCTGCTAATCCACCTACAAGTGCTTCAATTTTATCTACACTTGAGTAAAGTTTTTTCAATCGTTCTTGAATCACATCATTTTTAGTAATATCACTAAAATCTTGTGCTCTTGGAAATCCGTACAATTCCCTAATATCATTATAATATGGAACCCCTCGGTCACGTACACGAAGATGATCGACACTAAATGAATAATTTCGTTATTTTACTTATAATAAATTTACTTTACACTGAGATAAATTTACCTTGCCAAATCAACAATTTGTCCCGAAGATCGCAAACCTCGCATGTAATCCGCATAAAAAATATCGATTTCTTCTTGTCTATTATTAAATCATATTTTTGTTAAATAATAATAATTACGAAATATATCCCTTTTTAATAAATTACCTTTGTAATGCGAGCGACGTAGCTATAATTGGAACACCAAACGTTTCCACCGGTAATTTAGTTTGTTGTAATGGCAAGGTCGATAATATTTCTCCATTTTGATTCGCAATGTTAAAATTATTGCTATTATTATTATTATTATTATTATTATTATTATTATTATTATTATTATTATTATTATTATTATAATTGTATGGTGGTTAGTTACCTGATTTCGCTATGACCATAACGCATTGTCGTCGTGATAAATACATAGTCAATTCCTGCCGTTAAGTCTGGATTGTATGTTGTGAATTCGGGCAAAGGACTCCCCATAAGTATACTCACTATAATGATAAATTTTTCAAAAAGGAAATTACAAATATAGCCGCAGTAAATAAATAAAATAAATAAATTACAAGGTGAACTTACAATATTCTAAATAATTTATCTTTTGAATCAATGCTATGGTCCATTTTCTTGCTTCTTGAAAATAAGTTTCATCATTCCAATCATTACCATGTATACTAGTCAAATTGTCACATCTTTTATTATGTTCACGTAGAAAAACTGTAATGATCATATCAACGAAGATGTTTGTTCCACGAAGAGTGTTTTGCCCATATATGTAATTACCATTTGTATCTAACAAAAGGATAAGTGTAAAAAATTTTTTTTTTAAAAAAAAGAAAAGAAAAAAATTCGAAATAATTTCACAAACCTTTTGGAAGGTAGCCTAAAGCACTATCACCCGATTCTCCATACGTTAATCGCATTTTACATCTGTTATTTGAGTCTCTAAGCACTTCATTTAATCGTGTTTCATCGACTCCATATAACATAGAACCATCAACGTATGCTGTTGCTAAATTTACTGTTCCACGAGATGTTAAATTGTAAGATCGACTAAATGGTAAAGCTGCCTATATTTTGAACCAAAAATATTTAACATTAATAATTTTAAAAAGGATTACTAAAATTTTAAATTACCTGATTAATCTGAGCATTTTCTGAAAGATAATTAGCATCATCGTTGGGAATTAATATTGCAAAATCATTGGGAGCTTCTACATTTTGGCTATATGAAATATCAAATGATATAAAGTCCGCCCAAAATGTCATCTTTGAAAAAAAAATTTATTGGTAAATAATTTTTGAATTGTCACGTGACGAGAGCGAATTGACTCACCATATGCGAAGATTTTCTTTTAGATTTGAAACTATCAACGAAGCTTTCATCAAATTGTTGCGCTTGCGTTGCTTGAACCCCATCAGCTAAATTACTTATACATCTTGGCAAAGGAAAAGTTCCTTCTTGTAATACATCAGTACATTTGTCAACTACGGGTAATGCAACGACTTGATAATTTTGAGGACAAATTACCATCGATGCTGTTGCTGAATCCGCAAACAATTCGACTGCATTTTTATAATTTAAATATATCGCACCGACAACGCCAGCATTAGGAACGTTTAAGTTGTTATTTGTCCCATCTAATGTGCGATATTGTTGGGCATTATTTATTTTAAATAGTGAGAAATAAACGAGAATTCCGTAAAATAAAATTTTATTAATTTTATTATACATTTTTGATTCTTGTAATAAAATTTTTTTCAGAAATTTTCATGTTTTATGTTTATTATATAAGAATTTCAATCATTTATAAATCCCATCATTGTACTAATTAGATTGTACAGTATAACGTAAATTAAAACTTATTATAATTGCTAAATCTAGATCCACATCAATGAACTTACATTACAAATTAGCCATTGATTAAGTTGTACAATGTACAAGGATTTGAATTTTGTTTATCGCACAACAATTTCGAATTCAAGAAAATTCTTTTTTTTTTAGATTAATATGGAAAAAAGAACAAAATATTGAAATTCCTTTTCAAGTTAGTAATATTATGTATAGTGATACTTCATTGGCTGCACAATCATTATTAAGACGCCAATGTTTTTTGTAGATTATTTTCGCATGAAAAGGATGAAGGCGTGAAGGCGTGGAAAATTATCAGATAACGTTACAAATTTCACTTAATGTAAACGTTATATTTAGAAATAAAGAATACCTGGTAATTTATATATCATTATATCATTTACGTGTTCGGCTGTCCTAGAATCAATGTTGGAATAATGTATTAGTATAGATAGTTTAGACCAAAAATCTCAGAGGACGATATTTTTTTTAAATTAACTTCACGTAATTGGCGATGATTTTTACTCGTTCATGATTGGTCGATTTCAAAAGTTCAGAAATATTTATTATAATCTTATGGATCCATTTGTTCACTGTATATATTAACTAGTTTTATTTATCAAAAAGTGAATGTTTCTTTTTCATTTATGGTTTAATCGGTAATAGTATTTTGAGATATATCGGGAACTGAGATCAACCGACGCGCATTCATATTCCTTAATATCCTCATTAAGCAATCCTTTAAACGTGGGTGGTGCATAACATAATTTTGTATTATATTAATAGGGAAGAGGAGTATGTAGATAGATTCTTTTTTCGGACTCAATAGATCATGCAAACAAGATCTAATACATAGATAAAAGTAAATAAATAACTCAATAATATCCTCCACAAATTCTTATGTATGAAGTATGATAGTTATGATGTTATCATTTTCCAGAAATATGAGTGAATGGCAAAAATTCGGTATAAATGTTAATAAAATTATGTTTTTGAGAATTAATGTTGGGATAAATGCAGTGTAAACCGAATGTTATTTTACGTATATAATCCGCCATAAAAATTTGAATTTGTGTTAGGAAGCGTTGAATAGTTTGATGGATAATACCATCTGAATTAAGTTGAAGTAAAATTTAACAATCAACATTCCAAACTTTATTCATATTAAGAGACAATATACGTAGATTCGGTCGTAGATTAAAAGTTTACTCTCGAAAATGATTCTATGATTTCATGTTACATTAAACAAAATATTAGATTGGTGCGACCTTACGTCATAATGTTAGGAAAATGGGGAATAGAACATTGTTATCTCTCATTCATGCAGATTTACCGGACATAATTGTTATTTTAATCGGTTGTCGTGCTAAGCCAATTTTTTTAAAAAAAATTATAGTAATAAGCCGCATGCCGCAGTACCGTTATTAGACTAATGTATTTTATTAATAAATTCGGCAACTATCGTGAAAGAATTTCATATGTTGAAATTAAAATTTTAAATGAACAAAAAACATCAAATTTATTAATTTGGTTAATTTGTATTTGAAGCAAATAAAGCTACGAGAGATAAAGGAAATAAACGAAAATAAATTTAAAAATCTTAAATAAGATCCATTGTACTTTTCTTGTCACCGATCATTCTGTTCATTCGAAGATTTTTTAAACAGAGGGAAAAGATTAAAATCACTTTTTTGTGAGTTACTATCAATTGCTTGAGTTGTCGCAGGAGGAGTTGTAGTAAGCGAAGTTGAATTATTGATCACATAAACTTCTCCATCTGTTTCATCTTCAATAATAATATTTTCATCCTCTTCATAAATTGAAAATCTTTGAGATATATCTTCATCACGATCAATTTTAATAGGAACTGTAGGCAATTCCATATCAATTGTAGTACTATCATTTTGTACAACTGGACTGTTCATATCTGAAGGTGTGTATTCTCTTTCCGAGACAATTGATTTTGGTCTATCACAATTGTAAATTTCTGGAGTATTTGTCCGACGAAGATTCCGAGTAAGACGTAATTCTAGCGACTGATTTCTTGATAATGTAATCGTGTTCACACGCTTTCCTATTTTTATCTGATATTTTATGGTAAGTAAATTTATATGTTCGATAAAATTACAGACATTATAATAATTACCAATGGGACAGATAGTCCATGTACTGTAATTGAAGAAATTACAAGGAAAAAAGTGACTAGGGGAAAAAGGTAACTTTGTTAGAACACTACAGTGTTATTAGACTCTGTAATTTGAACTTTGAAGTTACCTGGAATAACAAGTTCTCTTGCGTGAGCATGATCTGTATCAGTTTCGGAAAAATGGTCTTTAGCAACTTGAGCATAGAAGATTGCAGCTAAATAAAAATTAGAACATTAACTAAATCACATTGATACAGAAACGCTATGATAACAAGATACTTACCTACTCCAATTGGTCCAAACCAACCGGCAAATATACCTTCACGGCGTGTCTTTAAAGCAGGAATTACTTTTAACAGAGCCATTACGATAGGAAGGCGACGAAATAAGAGTATAAGAATAGCAACTACAATGAGACGCCAATAGGATAATCCTAAATCTGCTTCGTTGAATGACGACCATGGAATTACTGTGCCGAGATAAACAAAAATTGCCAAATTAAGCAATAGGTCGATAACGTCCTGAAAGTACGATTCAGCAGTTTCTACACGAAACCAGTCGCTATTATGAAATTTTACATTAGTTTTAGTAAAATTTGATATTAACGGTTAAACATTCGTTACTCACTCCCAAGTAAAGGAATTTCCAGCAATAAAACAGGCTAATAAATCATCACTTCCAATTAATGATACGGCACCCATAATAAATAGCTGAATAAAATAATTTGACAATACAATCAATACTTTTAACACTTATATATTTATTATGTGCAATAACCATCAACGTTACTTACAGCTAACACAATAGCAAAAGTCATAAAGATCTCTTTATCGATTAATTTTCTGAAGTAAACAAAGTATAATAAGTAAAATAAAATTAAAAAAATTCACATTTTTTTTACACTGATATACCTTTCTTCAGCTAATTTAAGTAACTTGCGTGCAATATATCCAATCAAAAACCCAATTATGATAGATACCAATATCTGATATCCGATTATGTAATAAAACCATTGTCCAATTGCTGTGCCCGGAGACATTTGTAAAAGATAAATCGCTAAAAAAAGGAAAGGAAGTCCGAAACCTATAGAGAATAAATGTTAACATATATCCGTAGATTATCAAAAATAATAAAATTTACCGTCATTCGCAGCACTAATATGGTAAAAAAAGAACGAGATTAGTTAATATTAATAAAATAAACTTGATCTCACTTAAGATCATATTTATATTATGTTCTTATTACCTCTCAGCAGAAATGATATGTCTTACGTGATTTGGAACATGTTTTTCTGCAAAACGTCCGCTGACCACACAATTGGCCAATACCTTGAAGAAAATAAAATTAAAATAGTCTACTTGTAAAGTTTTCATCAATTTGACAAATTAATTAGGGTGTCCCTCATCATCATCTTTCCTAAATATTTTGGGTACTATATAAAAAATACCTATTATGCCCGATATCGCGTAATATAAGAAAGTATGGAGTGAACCAAAAAAATCTCTATCCTACTATTATTTCTCTATTCAAGTATGAAGTTAAACATAACAAGAAGCTTACCGGATCAGTTGGAGTGACGCATGAAGCAATCATAAGTGCTTCTAACTATATTTTAAAAATTATTAGTTTCAAATTAAACTACCAGTCATCGGTAAGTCAACACTAACCAATCAATACTTACAAATGAGATTTTGGGTATCAAGAGCCATATGGAAAGAGCACTAACAAGCCACATCCAAATCATAACTGGAACAAGTAAGATCGCTAGAGATCTAAGTTCCCTCCAAAGATACGCTCTTTATTAAAAAGAAATACCATCAATTACTCGTCATTAAAAATTATTAATTTGTTAAAATTCATACTTAGGTAATGCCACACCAGCAGCCATAACCTGTTAAAAAAATCGTTAGATAAGATTTCCATAAACACATATATATATATATATAGAAAGATCTAAACAGCAAAAAGATATTACCTGAATAGCGATAACAATTCGAGTAAATTCGCGTGTAATAAAGTCAGTATTTCCCCACTTATAGGGGTTGATTACTTGTAAAACATATGGGCCGAGAATTACTCCAACGAACAAACATATGACTATTGATGAGGAAAATAGATTATGTAAAAGTCAGAAATGTAATAGAAGAACCAAAGAAAAAAACTTACGTGCTTCTGATAAATACAATCGTTGTTTGACGAAATACGAAACAAGACCAAAAATAACAATAAATCCACCAAGGATCAACGAAACAACGGAAACTTCATTAACGTTAATAAATTGTTGCATACTATAAAATTTATTAAAACTACCATACAATTTTGCAAAAAAACAAAAAAAAAAAAAACCAGGATACAAACAAACAATAAACATATCGTGTGTGTAACGTACACAAATTTAGACTAACTTTATTTTTAATCGAATTTTTAAATTACATTATTAGAATTTTCTAAATTTACAGTTTTAAAAAAAAATATATTTTTATTGCGAAGGCGCATGTGCAGCAAAAGAATAAATACAACCAGCAAGTAATGCAACAACAGGTACTGTTATTATCCTAAATTTTTAAAAATCATCAATTATATTATATTGATTGAAAATCATGATGATAATTTCCATTATTAAATTGACTTACCAACTAAAGAAGCACAAACCTAACAATCTCCAGTTGATTGCTTTTGCGTTTCCATTACACAGACCTACGGCTGTAGTTGCTCCAGTAACGCAATGTGTTGTTGAAATAGGAAGACCCAGTTTTGAGGCTGTTACTATTGTTAATGAAGTACCCAATTCTAAAGAGAAACCCCGTGATGGAGATTGATAAGTAATTCTATTTCCAAGGGTTCTCATTACGTGATATCCATAAAGAATAAGTCCCAAATCAATGGCGAGGCCTCCTAAAGCTAGAATCCAAATAGGTGTAGTTGTTTCACCTGTGGTTGAAAGAAAAAAATCTTACTTTCAAAACAAGATTTGCCAAATTTGATGAGAAATACTTTTACAGCTTTACCTAATTGAATTGTTCCAGAATGATAAGTAAGATATATTATAAAAAAGGGACCGACCGCGTTAGAAACATCGTTTGAACCATGAGCGAATGAAGCGAATGAGGCAGTAAGAATTTGAAGGAAAGAATATAGACTTTCCGTATCCGGATCATACTTTATAGCGAGATCATGCATTTCTTTATTTTCCTGCACTTTGTAATCTGCAACTTCTTTATTCACACTACGGGCGGCAAATTTTCCAATAGCCGCAAGATATAATTGGAAAATATTCTTTTTGGTATTTAAACTAGATGACACATCTTCGTTTTCTTCAATTTCGATTCTTTCTTGTTTTTCAATACCATTTTCAGCAGTATTATCAGCAGTATTTTCATAACGCTCACTAATGAAGGGAATGACAAAAACATGATACCATCTGAGGCCATTTTCTTTACCAAGAATCTTCCTTCTTAAATATTGTACATAAAAGAAATGACCAAAAATAGCAAAGATAATCGTAATACCAACGATAACAGATACAATAATGTAGGGTTTAAGATTGTCTAAATTAAGATTGGATGGACCTTTATAGACGATTTCAAATGTATTGATAATGACTATTATACAAAGATAAATCGGAACAGCCATTAAAGATCGTTGGAACGAACTTTCTCGATGTTCAAGCACCAAATATTTCGTTACTAAGAAAACAATCGATGCAACAACTCCTGATACTATAGGTGCAATGAACCATGAAGCTATAATTTTTCCCATGCCATTAAAACTCCAGTCAATTGCTAAAAACAAAATTATCAATTAGATCGAATTTTAAAAGGCAAAACAGCGAAAAGCATACTATACCTTCCCAACCGAAGGCTGCAACACCAACACCAATAGTAGCACCAACAATTGAATGCGTAGTGGAAACTGGCCATCCACGACTTGATGCGAAAAGAACCCATATAGTCGAGACAACCATGGCGCAAACCATGGCCAACTATTTTCGTCAATATTTAAAAGAGATATATGATTTAAGAATTTATAAATCGAAAGGTACAAATATAAAAAAAGTAGTAAAACATACTATGAGTAATTCAGGACGATTTTGAAATAATGATAATTTTATAATTCCTCCCCCGATGGTTTCTGACGTATTCGCGCCCAGTAGTAAAGCACCCAAAAATTCTGTGAAAATAGCAATACAGCACGCTTGTTTTAAAGAGAGGGCTTTTGATGCAATTGAAGCTGAAAAGCTGTTTGATACATCATTAGCTCCGATTCCAAATCCACTAGCGAACGCAGTAATTGCGCCAATAATAAAAAGCCAAGAATAACTATATGGTTCCATTTCAAAACTTATTCTTAAAAATTTTATTTTTTGTCTCTATAAACTGTTTTATTAAAGAAAATAATCAATAGAAAAGCAAAAAATTTTTTTTTGCAACTTCATAGTCTTCATACTGGATATTTATTTGATTTTGATAATCGTCCACATTAAGGCATCACCCTCATTGTTACACTCGATCGTCGGTTGTCTAGGTTGTCATTTGTCAAAACTATAATGTCCCCTGCATATTTTCAGGTGTAACTTTTTACCTTTTTTTTTTTTTTAAAGGTTGGGAAGGCGGAAGTAAATTGTATCTAGATTATTGTCCGAAAAGCTTTTTTACAATTAATGTGGCGTCATTTAAAATTTTTCCGTTTATCTATCTAATGATTGTCAAAAAAATACATGCACAAATTAATATTACGCCAACAAAATTAATTGTTTGAGATAATTGTAATGAATGATTTTAATTTATTTTAAGTGTAGTCATTGTTTGAGATAATTGTAACGAATTTATTTTTAAGTGTAGTCTGGTAGGTAAAGACAATAAGGTTCCAAAGTATAAGTACACTACTGCCATTTGCCAGAACTGAAGTGATACAGAATAATTTAGTGAAACGTAACGGAAAGATCTGTAAACATAAATCGACATATTAATTAACAAAAAAGTATTGTTCAAATCCTTATTATTAAACCCTCTTTCCTTAAATTTTCATAACAATTTAAAAATTATGGCTTCCACAACTGGCGTTTCAACACCATCTTTTCAAATGAATAATGAATCAAAAGATTTTGATCAAGTGATAAATGAGACGTCATCATCATCGTTAAATTTGAAAACACAACCAGGTCCAACTAGTCCAAATTTATATCTGCATACTCCACCAAAATTAAATGGTTTAAAATCACCTTCAAGATCTTTATCACCTTCAAGACTCAGTAGACCTCCTTCTCCGGTAAATCCAAATGTTCCAGTGATTTATTCAAGACCTTCTTCACCTTCAAGAGATCATCTTAAAGATCCGACAATGAAATATGTTGATGAATTATTATTTGTATTTTATGACGCATTAGATAATTATCCAATCAATCAAATTATAATATTAATTAGACGTCATCTTGAAGATAATGATCAAAAAGAAGAAAAAATTTTTAAATGGCTATTAAATAATGAACATGATGTAAAATATAAAACTTTACTCGGATTTTTTTATGAAGGAGGGATTGGAACAGAAGTAAATGAAAGAAAAGCATTTAATTCTTATATAGCAGGTGCAAAGATGGGAATCGCTTATTCCCAAATTTTATTGGGAAATTGTTATATTTTGGGAAAAGGAACGGCAATAGATGAAACTTTGGGTTTCAAATGGTATCAAAAAGCTGCAGAAAGTGAACTATGTATATATGGTTTATGTAATATTGCTAATTGTTTTGATTTTGGTATCGGAACTGAAATAGACAAGAAAAAAGCTTTCAATCTATATAAAAAATCAATTAAATCTGGGAAAATTTTAGGTTTAAGTGAACTTGGTTACTGCTATCAAGTTGGATGTGGTGTTGAAAAAGATTTAAAAAAAGCTTTAGAATATTATAAACAATCTGCTGAACGAGATAATAGTGATGGTCAATATTATTTAGGTGTATTCTATGAGTTTGGTGTAGAGGTTGAAATGGATATAAAACAAGCTATAAATTGGTATTGTGAAGCTGCTAAAAATGGTGATGAAGAAGCTAAAAGCAAATTATATGATCTATTAAAAGAATAATTTAATATATGACAATTTAGATATTTAATACCATTTAATCATTATTTATTTAATTATTAGAATTATAAACTTTTATTTAATATTAACATTTTAATACCCAATATTGTTAGTATTAATGTATTAATTAGTTATTTAAAATAATTTATTATAAATAAAAAATCAAAATATTTATAAATAATGTTGTAAATTTTAAATTGGGTTTCAAAATTATTTTACTATAAAAAAATTTTGAAATTTTCTATATTAAAAATATTATTTTAAGTTAATTTGCAAATCAATATAAATATATTTATTATACTTATTATATTTATTTTCTTTTAATTTCAAAAATCTTGTTTAAAAAAATACTTTAACTGTAATAATTATATAATTTTTAATAAAAAAAAATCCAAAATTTAATATAATTTTAGTTTTAAATTATATATATTTTACTGATTCATTTACTAATAAAATATAAATATATTAAATAAAATAAATATGATTATTTATTATAAAAAAAATGAAGGTCTGATCAACTTTTCCTATATAATCTAAGTATAGTAAGATTACAAGTTCAATTCTGCTAATTATAGAAATTAAAAGAATTTTACTATGGATACTACTACATGTGAAAATACAGAAATTAGAGTAATGGAATTGCATTAGGCCATACAAACTTGATTTTATGGTTTTCATAATATAAAAATTTCATCAATAATCCAGCAACCTGGCTTTTAATTTTTTTTTTCAAAAATTTTATTTTTTTTCAATTTTTAAAAAATTCTCACCTGACATAGTAATAATATAAAAAAATTTTTTTTAAGACTTAACAAAACTAACCCGGCCGGACTATGAAAACCATTTTTACCACTTTGTGTCGCCTTATGGTAAATAAATATATACAGTACAGCTACATATTTCAATAAAGGATCTTGATATTCTGCTAATATTCTCTATGAAACCTTTGGTAGATTTATTATTCTATTTAAATGATTATTGTTTACATAATGTTTAGTAGTTTCTATTCTAGTAAATACCATTAGAGATACCTTTAAATACTAGATGATCTTTATAAATAGTAAAGTTTGAAGTGTTTATAGATCAATAAGTATGTAAAATTAAACTAGAATTCAATTCTCTACTATTTGGATGCTGATTGGTAATTTCTGGTAATAAAGTATTATTATTCTACACTACCTAAGATTGCTAAAGAAACTAAAGAATTTTAGCAAGTTATTAGCAAAATACTGAAATAGTGAAATTTTGCTAAAACTATATAAAAGTCTTATTAAAAAGTTGGCAAAATTCTAAAAAGAAGTAAAACTTACCAAAAATTATTATAAATGCTAAAACTACCAATATCTTACCAAAATTATAATAAAATTATAGTAAAATTTTAAAGAAACTAATTGTAAAATTTTGGAAAGTTTTAGGCAGGTAACCTTAATACTACTTTTAGAATTATTATTTTGATAATTACTTCTATACCACTAGGAATTCACAAATATATTATTAGTGCTAAATAACCATAGGTTGTAATGACCTTTGAGTAAAATCGTATCTTATATCTAATATAATAATATGAAAGGATTTCTAGATATTTACCATTATATTCAACTCTATCTTCTATTACTAACTAGTTAAAAGATTTACTTCATATATAAAACTAACAATTATATATACTTTAATGATATATTCAGAATAATGAAATAGTAGTAGCGTTCTTATATATAGAACTATTAAAATTTAGTTTAATATTAAAAAAGTAGTTTTATTTTATGAAAAAAATCTTTGTAGAAGAGAATCCTGAACATTACATATATAATTTATGAAAAAGTAACTTTTTCACAAATTAGTCTAAATTTTAAAAATTAAAAGGTAAAATTTATATTAAAAAAAAAATTTAGGTCTTATTATATAATAATATATATTATAATAATAATTTTATTGGATTTTAATATTAATTATTACATAAAAATCTGAAAATCTAATTTTTTATAATAATATAATAAAATTAAAAAAATTATATTAAATTAAAAATAGCAATAAATTTACTTAATATGTAATAAATCAAAATTATACTATCAATTGAAAAATTAAAAAATTCCTTTTTTTTAAAGTTTTAAATTATTTATAAAATTATCAAAATCTTTATTGAACAAAAGAAATCTAATATTTAGATTTATATTATTTTGCAAAAGTCAAGTAATATTTCATTAAATTATTTAAAAAATAAACTGTATGTTTAAAATTAAATTGTACCTATTTGGAATATATATTTATATTATTTTTATAAACTGTTGTTAATTTTCTCTTTAAGTAAAAATTATCTAAAATACCTAAAATAATTTCATCTAGATGATTTTACTTACAATTAATTTATTAAATTTATTAAATTTGATTGGTATAAAATTTAATATTTTTTACTTTATAATTTGAATAATATAAATTTTTTAAAATTTTTTGATTGGTTAAATTTTTTTAATTGTTAGTTTGTTACTAATTTGTTCTTTATATAAAATCACTTAGGTGATTTCACCTATATATAAATTTATTAAAATTAGGTAATTTTATCCATAATAAATCACATAAAATTTTTAATTTAATCTGCATATAAAAATAAATTTTTATGAATACACTTATTGTAAATAAAAAAATCTATAATTATGCTATATTATATATCTTTAATACCACTACTAAAGTTAAAAAAAATTTAATATCAATAAAAGTATATATAAATCATTAAAAAAAAAAAAAAGCTAAAAAAAATTAAAATTATAATAAATCAAAAATAAAATTAAATAAAATTAAATGAAATCAAACTCTTTTTTTTAATTTTCTTGTACTATATAATGTTAAATAAAACTATTTGCTTATAAACCCCCTTCTAAAGTTACTGGAAAATTAAAGGATTTTAGCAAGTTGCCAAAATGTTAAACTTTGCTGAAACCATATGAAAGTCCTATTAAAAAGTTGCAAAACTTTGAAGAAAAATGAAATCTGACAAATTTATTATAAATGCTAAAATTGCTAAAATCTTGTTAAAACTATAATAAATTATAGTAAAATCTTAAAGAAATTAATTGTAGGATTTTGGAGATACCTCAAATTTTTTGCAAAATTTGTAAGACCATTTAGAATACTAATTATATATTTCATTATAGATTATGAGTTTTAAAAGAAAATTACACCTTGATATTAAGGAAATATCTACATCATTTGATTCCTCTTAGTGAGACTAATATAATAATAAGCTAAAAAACATTGAAATCTAATTATTAGATTCTAAAATAATTATTTATTTTTATAGATGCAATTTTATCATATTATAATAAATAGTTATTAAATGAGAAAATAGTTATATTACAGAATCAAATAATTGGATGAAAATAGGTTATATAATGGTTATTTTCACCAATTAATGAAGATTCCTGTAACTGATATATGCATTAATTAATAACATTATAAATAAGCTTTATTTAACTTTATATAAATTTCATTTTCATGCTATTTTTAATTCACTTTATAAGTTTTATTTAAACTTTTCCTACAAAATATTTCACTTTATCACTTTATTATATCAATCATATATATTATTGCTAAGTCTAATAAAAATATCAGTTTATGAAAATTTGCATAATCCTATTGAGCTGAATAATAATATTGCTTACTTACATATATTTAACTTATATAAATAAGAAAAATAAAATATATATAAGGACTAAAACTAAGCATTATAACTACTCCAAAGAAAAAGTCAACCTGTCCCCTATGTGATTATATCATTATTAAAAACAATGATACAGCTAAAATTTCTGGATGACTGTCAAGATCCACCTAAAAATTTGACCAATGAACACCACAATGAAAAGAAAAATCATTCCATTTATTCCATTTATATTTCTATATTCTCCTATATTATGTTTAACTCCACTTGACTTCTTCTTTTTGTCTTTACTAGTAATATTATGCCTTTTTCTTACTAATTTGTATTTCATTCCAAAATCTAATATTAATTTTCTAATTAGTTCCTTTAATAAGATCTGTCTATATTAACTACCTTATGAAATTTAAATAACCCCACTATTCTAAACTAATTTGATTTTTCAACATAAATGTAAAATTATAATGATCTTTTAGATTCCACATGTCTAAATCCTCAATTTGTGAATCTCATTTATTTCCTCTTTTGAAAACTCAACTAACATCTTTTTCAAAAATTCTTTAAATTTCTTGATTATATCTTGAACGATATCTGTCGTTTTAGAACACTACCATAATGACCGTATGTTTCTTCAATTTTACAAAAATTATATCTTCAAGTGTCATCATAAACTTCTGGTTTTCGTTTCTTTAGATTTGCGCACGTTGGCAATTAACTACAACAAATTTTAATTCTCATTGTGAAACTAAATTTTGCTTTCTACACAGCCTATTGCGCATACTAATCGAAAATTTTTGCACAAATGTATCTAATAACATTAATATTTTGTTCATGAGTTTTTTGATGGGAAGTTCTTACCGGTACTTCATTTGAAGGAGTATAATTATGAAACTTTCGTGATATTTCTTGTAACTTTAAATAGTAATCTATTACCTGGATCTGTGATGAAAGATGAAGTCAGGTTAAAAAGATATTTAAGATATTTGGAAAGTGCATCGGTAAATATAGTTGGATTCACATCTTGAAAAAACATACCTTTTCTACAATTTCTACCAATACATACACTTGATCATCACTATCTGGGATTATGAATTTGTAAGGACGAGTAATCCTTCTTTGACATGCATTGTGTAAATCGTTGTCTCACGTTCTATTATTATAATCAGTCAATTAGAAACAAACAAAACGTAAACTTTCTACATATGGTACACAAGAATTCCATAATTATGGATGTATTTAAATTGTTCTTCCGTAACATTGCGTTGCAAATGATGTCGTCTCTGGTGTAAAAAATTGATATTTGCATTGCTACAAGAGACAAATCAAATAGCAATTTATAAGCTTTGCTGTATCTTAAAGATCTCAAAAATATGAACACATAGTAACAGACCTTTGAGTAACTGATGCCTTCTCCATGTTTGATAACATCTGTCACCATCGCATTCCCCACAACCTCTAAAAACCCATTCTATCTCCTTAGAATTCATACAGAGCTTAAGATTCGTTCCAAGGTTGACACGTGGGTTTAGCTCTTTCGTCTCGTTTTTATGTTATTTCCGCAAAGCCTCTCCACTAGTCAAAGTCTATAACGCATTAGTAACTATATACAATCAAATAAATAGTAAAGTTTGTATAATGATTAGAAAATTTACGGTTCAAAAATTCATTTGCTTTTGCAACACGTGTTCTTCGGGTGGTCAACAACCTCATCCAGTTCGAGTTTGATTTTAAACCTGCACGCAATCTCCGTCGCATCTGGATCAAGAAGGATATTAAATGGCATTGCAAATGGCAGTACACTAAATGGAATGGAAGTTGCAGTGAATTAGCTGAATATTACGATATATTGTTAAGCAATATGGTTACTTACAATCGCTTAGAATCTTACCCACAAAAAATCGTAATGTATTAAACGATTCCTCAAAATTAGTTTGCCGATGAATATCTAACGACAGTTGTTCCTTTCCAATTTAGATTGACGTGACGAGTTGGCTTTTCTTCGTCCGATGGTTCTCCCTACGAGAAAAAAAAAAGATTTGATTAATTTAAATCTAAACTTCTAATTAGCTACAACAATATTACGAACAATTTCCCAGAATTTTCTCATTGTCTTTCTCTCATCGTCTGTAAAGATTTTATTGACTGTGAATATTTGGTTGCGTTCAGAGAAGTTCAAAAGACGGTGCTTCAATTTACTCATCTTTGTAATGAACTTTTGGACTTCGGTTGATACACTCTCGATTTCATCATCTGTACATAAATCATTTTTTTCACATGTGTAGTTTTTAATGTTGCTATTCATATGATGATTTCTCTTAAAATCTCGCACAGAGTTCTTCAAATCACTAATATCGCTTTCAGAAGTATCGTTAAAAAGTGATGACTGCATAATGAAATCGATTAGAAGCACGGTCAACCTTATTATCAAGAAAAAGTAACGTATCCATTTAACTGTATATTCTGGCTATATTTACCTGAAATTTATTAATAATTTTAGAAAAGTTAAAGTTAGAGGGATAAGTTTGAATACCACCTGATAAGGTAGCTGTTTTACGAACTACATCAATATATTAGACAGATATGCTCTTACATATTCCAAGTCATTAACTGAGCTCTCTTTACGCTATCAACATAGCTATTTCCACAATATAAAATCAGTTTCTTTCGGCATATAAACAACTAGCACATACAGTCGCAATTTCTTCTTTAAAAACGGCTTGAGTTCATACTTTATCCAGATTATAGAACGTAGCTTTCTCAATTTAATATCAAATCCATACCAAAGGATTTGACATATATGTATATTTAAAGTCTACCTTTTCTATTTCTTTTCTCAATTCAATTTTATCGTCGGTGATTAGATCCGTCCATTCACGTATAAAAAATGATTCATTTCCGATTTTTTCGATTTGCTTGAGATTTCTGAGATTGAAATTTCAATTATATTTACAATTACCTACCGTTTTCTTCTTTTAATAAAGTGTGTTCTCTAGACATAACATCACAGCTAAATACTCCATTATCTGGTTTAGCTTCTTTCTGATTACGACTTCAGCTTACTCTTCCTTCTTTCCCTTTTTCCTTTTTTCCCTTTCCCTCTTATTCCCTTGCTAATTCACTTTCTCTCGCTCTCTTTCCTCTCTTTCCTCGGTTTCTACTTTTAAGTATCTCAATTTTCATCAAAAACTTCCTGTATTACGGGACTCAAAGTCACCCTACATTCACTAACAGATGGCACCAACCAGAGTGTTGCCACTACTCCTTATAGGACGGTACCCGCAAGAGGCCTACGTCGAGCGGAACCCTCTTTCCTTACAGCAATACATAACCTTATTAATAAAATTTTGCTCACTCATCATTTGTCGTGCAGCTCGAATAATTTCTCTCTCTTCCAAAAGAGAATTCTTATCTGGCCATGGTCTACCGTCAAGTTCTTTGATTATTATGGTGTTATTATTTTTTTAAAAAAATTTTAAGACTAGCTCGCAGGAAGATATATGATTTTATTGCTATTCATAATAAATAGTGTTAAGGAGGATAAGCCATAAATCGTGACAATGATACTATCTGCGTTAACTTTAAACATTTTGTCCATTACATTTGCCGAGAAAAGTAAAATGTTTTTATGAAGATTTTTGGTGGGTGGCTTGGAAATCACTACATGCACATGAACGATCATCAGATCATGCAAATCCAGATTATCAGTTATATTTTACATTTTGATCATATAAAACGAAATACCAAATGTTAATTGTAATAAGCCCCAAAATACATACTATCATATCATATACTCTATTTTTTTGTTCGCATATCGGTGCTAACTAATCCGTGATTGATTTATTCATTTCTACTCCTTAGGGCTAACAAAAACATACAAAAGAATATTTTCTCATTTCCACGTTAACCATTTAAACATAAATGTATCAAGAATACGATCATGTTTGATTTTTTGGCATTTTTTAAAAAAAGGCAAAATTGTTAATAAAGTCAAATTTATATTTAATAATATGTAAAATATTTATCCAAGAAAAATGATTAACTATACAACAGTAATCAGCAAGATTATTATAAAAAATATAAAAAATTAAATAGTAATACTAAATAATGAATTATATGAAATAAGAGAAATAAGAGTAATTTAAAACAAACATTATTAATTTTAATGCATTTTAGTTTTTAATGGCATAAATTCTTGCAGTGTTAAAACATGTTTTAAATTCGTCAATTTCATTTACACATTTATCAACAAGTTCATCAAAATTTTCAGATGAAATACCCATATGGGTTGATAAAGGTACTCGAACCGAAGGCCAAGTGTTATGTAAATCTTCAAATGATATTCCAAAATTTCCTGCCAATTTTCCGGTTGGGACTAACTTTTCTTCTTGAACAATGTCTTTAAGTTGATTTGTAGAATTTAAATAATCTTTAACGCGATCTGGGATAAGATTATTCATAAATCCATTTTCATGCATATACGAAAATACTAATAAATTAAGTATTATTTTATTTTCATTGGAATTTAATTCCCGTTAAAAAGAAAAAAAAAAAAAAAAAAAAAAAAAAATTACTTACATGCATTACACAATTGAGCTGTTACAGGTCCTTGTGTTTTATATTCGTCTATTACCATAATTTCTAACGTTCCACCAGTTTTCAAAACTCTTATTAATTCATTGATGACTTTCTCAAACCATTCATTATCAATGAATGCAAAGGTCATCAATCTCGTATGGACGAAGTCAAATGTGTTATCAGCGAATTGTATTCCGTCGAGAACGTTGCACTGCATGAACTCACAATTCAAAGGCATAACGTCCGAAGGATACATAGTCGCAATGTCCACGCCTACAAAAGTTGATCGTGGAAAATCTGTTGACATTTCTAACAACCAAGTTCCTGCACCACAGCTTAATTGAAAGTTAAATCAAAATTAATATATTATATTTTTCTCATTTAAATAATTAATTAATTATACATACCCAACATCTAAGACGCGGGCATTTTCCTTCAATTTATGTTCAATTGGTGCAGAGAAATTTTTTTGCCAAATATATTTAAAATAATAATGTTGTAAATGAAGACGGTCAATTTCTTCGTTATCTTTGGACAATGAACGAGTTGCACCTTGAAAGTCTTGACTATTTAAGGATTCATAAGAAACCTCATCTTGATCGTCTTCTTTATCAGAATCATCAACTTGTTCACTATAAATATCATCTATTTCATTATGAACCCAAGTAATTTCATGTTCATAATGACATATATTAGATATAGGCATTTGAATTTTATTCACAAAAGAAAGTTTTTTAAAGGGTAGTATAAGAATTATATTTAATCGTAGTTTAAAGAGTTTTAAAATGAAAAAATTGTGGGTTGAAAGGATTTTTATATATAAACAACCATGAAGAATAACTAGATATAAAAATCTTAGTAGATTCAAAATTCTGATTTGTTTGCATATTTTTTGTCAAGGTGTAAATAAAAGAATATTTTTTGTCAAATAAAAAAGTTTAAAAAGGTTAAAGAAATAAAACTTCTGATTTTTATTATTCGTTAAAAATTTATACATTAAAACGTATGATTTATATGCAATAATTTAGAAGTTTGCATAAGTCTAGATGAGGCTATTCATCGTAATAATGTCATGAGTTACGCATGGTTTATATTTGTTTTGATTTTTACATTTCACGAAATCCGAAAAAAAATGTTTTTGGAATGATTTTTCGTAGCAAATTTTTCTTGAAGGTTTGGTCTAGAATCAAAAAATTCTCACCCGAATTATTATAATTTGTTCAATTTAATAAACATTATTTCCAAATCTAGAAAAAACGGTAGACTTTATTAATACCAAAAGATTTTGTAATCCCAAAATAAAATGTATTACTACATAAAATCTTTAACGAATAATCATTCAAGAATTATCGGATATGGATAATATTTTTAGAATTTGGAATACAGTAAAAAATAACCTCTCCAATAAAAAATCGAACAAATTTTCTAGCCTCAACTTTTTTTGTAAGTGTAATGTTTTCATATAAGATAAGGTTATAAATTTCCGAACAAACTTTATCTGTTATATTGTACATTCATCGGGAGGCGGGCAAACCTTATTAATTACAGACGAAATTTGATTGGCTAATATTTGACTTTTTTTTAAAAAGTTATTATTTTAGAATCATTATAGATGCAAAGAAAAATTTCACGCACATATTAAAGGGTAACACGTGGTATAACATTATTTGTCCATATACTTACTATACTTACAGGGACAAAATGTTTAGATCTAAGCCAAATAAGCTAAAAATATTATTACGTGAAACGGATTGGGGAGTTTATTTATATGCATCACATTTTCTATTAACAATAAGTATATAAGAATTTGAATGAGGAACAGTATTGTTTGTTCCCTTTTTCTTTTCTTGACCTAATATTAAATTATGGTTCAAACATTACCAGTATTACCTTTTGATTGTATTTATAATATTTTAAAGGAACTTCATCACATTCATAAAGGTTCATTATTTAATTGGCTTTTTCTTAATCGTTTATGGTGTGAACAAACAGTTCCATTCATTTGGAAAAATCCTTTGTTGATCTCGCACAAATGTTCATTTAAAAATAGAGTATTATTCATAAAAACTTTACTCTTATTTTTTGATCATATTGAATTATCAAAATTAAAAGGACTTAATATTGATTTAAAACAACAAGAAAATCAAAGACCTTTATTTAATTATGTAGAATATTTTGAGGAGATACCTTTTTTAAGTAGTTGTATTAGAAGTTGGTTATTCGAATATTTTAAATTGGATGAAAAAAATCGTTCAGGATCTGTGGGATTTTTTGAACATAAGATACAACCGATTGAATCTTTAATTAAACATATGATATTAAGACGTTCAAAGAGGTTAAAAACTATTTGTCCAATTCAAAATGAATATTATATTGAATTATTTGATAAAGAATTTTTTGATTTTAATTTATTTAGATTAAAGAATACTTTACAAACATTTAAAATGACAATATATCCTAAAACTTCTAATAATATACTTATCTTATCTCAATCAATTATAGATAAAAATATTCATCTCTTTGAAAATTTTATTATCGATTTTTATGAGAAACAAGATTTTTCCCTATCAATCCCTTTATTAGGTAACATTATTAAAAATCAAAGGTGTGTGAAATCTCTTGAATTAACAGGTCAATTATATAACAAACATTTAGAATATATACCAATCTTTTTATCCTTAAATTCTCATCAAACAAATTTAATTTCACTAAAATTTTATTATATCAAATTTACAAATATTTCTTTAAATATATTAATGAAATGTGTTACATTAAAAGATCTTTTAATTAGTGATTGTGATGGTATTTCTTTAGAAAATATTAATTTATTTTCTAATGTTTCATTTAAATTGAATAATTTATCAATCTTTAATCAATCAAATTTATCTTTTAATATAACTAATTCAATTATTAAATTTTTGGGTAATTCTTTAAAATGTTTATTATTAAATCAATTAACTAATGAAATTAGTTTATCTTTATTACATTATACTTCAAATCTTTCATCCTTATTCCTTTATGATGATGATTTATTATATGATATTTCCCTAATTTTTAATTTTTTGAAATCTTCAAAATTAGAAAATCTTCATATTATTCATCAAAATTATAATTATAGTATAAATTATAATATTATAAAATCCTTGAGTAAAAGTTTACCTTCAACTTTAAAATTATTTGAATTTTATTTTTATTATTTAAGTCCTGAAAATTATAAGGATTTATTTAATTTAAATAATACCCCTTTATTAAAATCTTTAATTTTAATTTGTTATAATTCAACTTTTTATACAAATTATAATCTTGAAGCAATCGTTAATTATGTTAAATTTAAAAATAATAATTTAAAATATTTAGAAATTTGTTCTCCTAAATTTAGAGATTGGGAAATTGATGAATTATATTTATTAGAAATTTTATGGAAAATTGGTGTTGAAGTTCAAATTAGAGATTTATAATAATAATATTTTTTTTTTTTTTATATAATAAGTATTTTTAGTAAATTAAATTATCAGTAAATCTTTTTAAATTAAATAAAGTATTATATATTTAATATTGATAATTTACAATATATTTAAAATATATAAAATATTGGTATATAAATTTTTATAATATAATACAGTTAACTTTTTATATAGTTATATTTTTTAAAACTGAAAAAATTTTTTTTTTTTTTTTTTTTTTAATACTTTATTAT